GATTTGAAAATTTGAACAATTCGGTTTTCTCACCCTTTTGAATCTCATATTTTTATTTTTAGTATATTGTTAAACTCATTCCTAAGTCACATAATTTTTCTCATGTTTGGAGCGCATTTTTGCTCTCTTATTTCGCTTGCGCTCTTACTTAAATTATCACTATTTATTACTTAATTATGTCACTCTCACGCTCCCGCTTTATGTGACTTAATTCACCCCTTCACAATTACTGATACGAGTTTTTAATACTATTTCTCTCACTCCGTAGCAAATTATATATATATATATATTTTTTTATCTTAAAATAAATGTCACAATTGAAAAGTCAAAGTACGAATTTTGTAACACTACTAATTTAACATTCTTGTATTGAACTTGTAAAAAGTAAATCATTACATCATATTGACCCAGTATGAATATATTTGATAACTCATTCATTATCAATATAATAAAAAAATATTAAAACTCATCCCTTTAAAAACTTAAATTCCCAAAATAAAAGGACGTTTAATTTAGAACGGATGGAGCATTATTTCTACTACAAGATTTAGAAGCGGGCTAAAAAGCTATAATATGCAAAAGTGATCAAAATTTAATCATTTGATACATTCATGTAAATCCAAAATTACAAAAATATAATTTTATTTTGTTTTATAAACATATTAAGATTGTTGCAAATATATAAAAATTGATGTTGATTTCAAATATATTTAAATTGACATCATTCTGCGACACAATAATAAAACCAAATTTTTTTTTTTTTTTAAAATGTTAGGTTTCAGTTGTTTCAACATAATATATATATTTTTTTTATTGTTTGACAAACGTATAGATAGAGTTCTTCATGTGAAACATGTAAAATAAATTGTTGAAAATTAATGAATAATTTTTTTTTTTATTAGATTTTAAATATTTTTTCTTTTAAAAATATTTTAGTACAATCAATCAATAAAAAATACAAAGGAAACCTTAGGTGCGTGTGTTAAAAAATATTTTCTAAATGTAGGAACCGGCCGGTCCGATTGCTGCACGCACTGAGGGAGAGAGACAAAACGCGATTTGGCAGCAAGTGTGTGTGTGGATCCACGCATGCGTGTGGATTCCAGAAGGGACAAAAAAATGGGCAGAGGGAATGATAAGATGTATCTGTTATCACTGTATTATTTTGGTATGAAAATTAATGGGACCCACTAATAGTACATCACACGTGGGATTCTATTCAGTACACTGAAAGTTCCTGTGTTGCATTGTTCACTCACTTTCAGTCTTCATATTCTAGTCTGCCAGAAGATTAGTGGATATGCATGTTGTTCATCTTTACCAAAAAAAACAAGAAAAAGTTACTCTTGTTTTGGATTACTACATGTGTGTTTCTACAATAAACCATGAATCTATTTCAACATGCAATTACTCGCTAACGAATTCTTCCAAATCCTGTTTGGCGTCGGAGTTTATTTGTTCTTTTAAGTTGTGATCAATCAAAGAAAAAAAAAACTAAAATTATATATAATGTGTTTTTAAAATAAAATAATTTATTTTTTAATTTTTGACAAATCATTTTACACGCTCTACTTGATGGACTCGATATCAAACTCGATTTTTATCAAACATTAAAAAATAAAAATACAGTAATATTTTATCCAAAAAAATAAAATATTTTATATCAAAACAAATAGAGCCTTAATGCTTGTATTTTTTTTATTATATTATTTATTATTATTATTATTTTTTTAATGTTATTAATTAAGGATTTCTTTTTATTTACACGTGACGCGACAAGTATTCTCGCGTACCATGAGATTTTTGAAATATGTAAAATAAGTTGAAAAAAAATAATAAAAAATAATAAAAAAAAAGAAGGTAAAAACCTTAAAGTGAAGAGGGCAATAAAACTTGAGAGTATCCAGCGAAACACACACAAGGAGACAAAATAAGAGCCGACACAAACAAGACAGGATACGCCCACTGTTATTGGATGAGATATTAAAGGCAAAGCTAACCCATGTGTTACAATAAAGTTAGCAAACACTGAAATGTGACATTTTTTAAAATGTCTAAAAATGCTTTCATTTTTTTCAAAGTCAATAAACTATTTTTTGAGATATTATGATCACCTACTTAGACTTACATTGAGGAAGTAATTTAAATAAAACACATATCGGATCTATTTTTATAAGAGTGGTGTTAGTCGGATTGATTTATTTTAAACCGATTACTCATATGATTGTGTAGTCTGTGATTTCATTTATTAGTAGGTTCAAAACCGTCTGGAATTTTTTATTTATTTTTATATCTTTAAAAATGAATAATTATTTATTAGAAATTTTGGTAGGGATATGCTATGAGATGCCATCTCTACGAGGGAATCAAATTAGTACCAACAAACGTTACGGAGTTGTTAAAAGAGAGACAATGTTACGTTGTCTTTTTCCGTTTGGGGTCACTGTCATGGGCCACCTAACAGCCTGTTCAGCCAAGCAAAACCCACTCCTTTTATGATAATAGTTTTAAAATTTGTGGGGGTCGTCACTCATCTTAACCGTTGGATCTTTGTGTAGAAATCAACAGTTGTGATGGTCCCTTCATTTTCTGTGGGCCCCAAACATCAATAATGATCATCACATGGCGTCCCTTTTAGTTTTAGCCACCCTTTCTTTCATCTTAAAGCTTAATAAACATCAAAATCAGGAAATGTTTTTCTTATCCGAAGTAATCTGTGAATTATCCAAATAAATATGATAAATATAGAAAATTTATTTTCCCCTACCTCTAAACCACGAACGCCACCACCACCACCCGTATCAAAAATTGCAAAGTAAATAAATTTTTATAATTTAAAATTTTGTACCAAATCGTTTCAATTTTTTTTTTTTATAAAAATTTCAAAATATCTTTAATAAAATTTGTACATATAAATATTTTTTTATTTTACTTTAAAGATATTTTAAGTATTTCAGTCTACAAATTATAAAAAATTGTATGTTTTTTTTTTTTTCAACACCAGAATGTCTGCACTTTATCCTTATTTTTATTATATATAAATGTATACGTCATCAAAAAAAAAAAAAGTGTTAAATGGACAATTTTGTTTTATAAATTTATATTTTTAATGTTCCGTAATAATGATAAAAGATATTTAATTAATTAATGTATAATTTTGCGCAATTGCAATCTCCTCTTGGATTTACTAGACAGAGTTCTTTTGAGACGCTACTTATTGATATTAATTACTCGAATGTTAAATTTGGTAGCATCCACGCTTTGAAATTAAATTTGGAGAGACGGAGATTTCATTGGGAATATTAGAAAAGCCCAATTAGCAGCCTCCAGTGGCCTTGTGGGCTTGAATGGTATAAATGTTTTTTTTAGAATGGTATAAATGTTGTTTGGTGTAATTGCGTTTATCAGCCTCCAGTGGCCTTGTGGGCTTGAATGGTATGAATGTTTTTTTTTTTAGAATGGTATGAATGTTGTTTGGTGTAATTGCGTTTATCAGCCTCCAGTGGCCTTGTGGGCTTGAATGGTATGAATGTTTTTTTTTTTTAAAATGGTATGAATGTTTTTTTTTTTTAAATGGTATGAATGTTGTTTGCAAATTCTTATTTGCAAAGAATTTGGGATACTTGTATTATTTGGTTACTTGTAAAAAATTGTAAAGTTGTTGAATTTCAACTTATAAGGACCATCTTCTCACATCAGATTCCATTAGCATATTGATAAAGGCTTGGAAAGTTTCCCAAATTTTGAAAATGGTTTGTTAATCCTGTCTGGTTGGAACTTGGATCATGCGAATGTTTTATCAATCCTGTTTGGTTGGGTTAGGCTTTTGTTAGGGTGAATCCCTCTAGATGGGCCCATAAATGATTGGGCTAAAGTATCATCCTTATACACTTCCACCTCATATTCAAATGAGGTAGGCATTTAATCTGTTACAGTTCGTATCAGAATTATACTCAGTGTTTGATCTAGTGACATGTCAAGCGTCTGCTTAAATTTTGCAAATACTTTATTAATCATGTTTGATTGAAACTTGGATCATGCGAATGTTTTATCAATCCTGTTTGGTTGGGCTAGGCTTTTGTTTAGGTGAATCCCTCTAGATGAGACTGGGCTAAAGTATCTTCCTTATACACTTCCACCTCAGATTCAAATGAGGTAGGCATTCAATCTGTTACGGTTCGTATCAGAATCATACTCAGTTCTTGATCTAGTGACATGTCAAGCTTTCACCTAAATGTGCCCCCACCCTACCGAGATAATCCGACTACAACAAAGGCGTTGCAAATTGGAAAATGAAATAATGTCTACACTAAGCTCGAACTTCGACTCTGGGCTTCGTGTTGAGTTATGAGGACCCCAAGCTGCCATTATTCTCTAGTTAAAGCAATAAACAATGTTGCTTCTTTTGTAAAGTAATGAAACCAATAGAGTATGCGGAATCATATGCCTTTCTTTAAATTTTATCCTTCTTGTGTGTGTGTGTTTGTGTGCGAGAGAGAGCATTTCTTATTTTCTTGGCAGCTTTGGACATTATAAATCTAGGCAACAAAAGCAAAGCATCCGATGCTGCTGTCATACGCGGTTATAGCTTATGAGTCATGACAACAAACCCCACCACCACATGGAAATATTTTAAAAGTACAATTGACTCATTTGTTAAAGACCTTAAATCAAAGACAACTACTTGGAACTCTATAATCCACCCAACCTATTTTTTATGGATATGATTTCCAAGGTTTTTACGCCCCTCTCTGTCTCCTTAACATTGGAATTTGAAAGCCACACAAAGTCATATATCTTTGTAAATATTTATATATATTGACGGAATGGTTATGAGAAATCCATGCACTCAAATATTACTCAATATTACAGTAATTGTTAATCACTTTCCCAATATAGTATAACATAATATATATATATAATTATATATTAAATTGTTAATGTTATAGGTTGAAACATACATGGCATGACACACTCATTTCCCTCATCAACAAACAGAATGAGCACCATTCCCCCAAGTCAGTACACCAAACCCACTTTAGCATCTCCCCCAAAAGCTCTGGTAGGTAAGGACCAAATTGGAGTTTTCACTGATGTGAATGGACACGTGTCACTAGTCTAACACGAGAGCACAAACATTTGGTGCCTCGATGGGTCAAAACAGTTATTACAGTTAACGCGTTTTTGAAGAATCAAAGCGTGCACCAAACAACGCGTAGCTTCTTGAAAGCTCAATACTTTCTAATACTAATAACCAACAAAAACCAGCAGTAGTAGTCTTGTAAACCCAAACCCAATTCTGTTTGTGTTCTTGGTTGTCTTGTCTTGCTGTTTCCTTCGTCTGTGTTTCCTTCCAGTGAACTAGCTAGTAGTATATATAAGAAACAAGAAGATGCTGTTGACTTTAGTATTTCTAGCAGCTCTATTCATTGTTGGGGTTATCACAACATTCTTCAACCTATTACCCGCCAAGAAGTTCATAGCATGGTATCAATCCTTGTTTACCACGAGTAGTAGTAATAGTACTCAAAATGTTTCCACCAACCAAATTAGCATACCTCGCGGCAAGAAGAAGGGGGAGCTGAAGAGTGTATTCGCGACGTTTGACAAGAACAACGACGGATTTATAACGAAGAAAGAGCTGAGAGATTCGCTTAAGAACATCGGAATCACGGTGACAGAGAAAGAAGTGGTGGAGATGGTTGAGAAGGTGGATTCTAATGGGGACGGGCTGATTGATCTTGATGAGTTTTGTGAGTTGTTTGAATCTACGATGATGAGTAGTGGTAGTAGTAGTGGAGATCAGCAAGTGATTGGTGGTAAGGATGATGAGGAAGGAGGAGAAGGCGATTTGAAGGAGGCTTTCGATGTTTTCGACGGAGATGGAGATGGGTTGATCACAGTGGATGAATTGGGATTGGTGTTGTCTTCTTTGGGGTTGATGGAAGGGAAAATGTTGGAGAATTGCAAGGAGATGATAAGGAAGGTTGATATGGATGGAGATGGTATGGTTAATTTTGATGAATTTAAGAGGATGATGAAAGCTGGTGGAAGCCTTGTTTCTGTTTCCTAAATCAAAAGTCATCGTTGGGGCGGTACCATCTGATCTGACCGTGTGAGTTTGCAGTAGGTGAACTTTGACCAAGTCAAGTCTTTCTTTTCTTTTCTTTTCTTTTCTTTTAATTGTAAATACAAAATATTCACACACTGTGTTGTGTGTACCCTGTTACTGTGCAACATGCGTTGACTCTTTGTGTTTGAACCTAGTTCATGTTTTTATTTTTTTATTTTTTTCTGGCCTGTTCATGTCTTCACTCTTTTGCATCATAAATCTGTGCAAGATGTGTAGACTGCAATGTTTCTGTAACTTTAAATGGAATTGTGAATAATGGGTCATAACCGAGAACACAAATAGGGATGAACGGGATGGACTTGGGACAGGTTTGGCTAAACTTTGTTTTGCTTTGTTAGAAAATATGTCATTTTAACTTCATCTCTATTTTGAAATGGGTTTATAATTAGACTCAGTCCCATGTATTTTGTTTAATTGCGAGACATAGTGAGGCTAGGTCGAGTTATGTCACATTTATTAGGTAGTAAAAAAATAAATAAATAAATAAATTGACTTAACTTTTAAATTACTAAATAATAAATATTAGTAATATATTAATGGACAATAACAAGAATCTTAAAAATATTAAAAATATATTTTATATTATTAAAAAATTTAAAAGGTATATATATAATCGAAACGGATTCGAGTTTTTAATTATTTTATTATATCCGTCCCAAATCCATTCCAAAGAGCACCAAATTCAGCCCATTAGGGGTAGGGAGAAAACCCGCTGGTAGGAAAAAATTGCCATCCCTAAACACAAATTGGACGATTATTTAAAATAAAACCTCGATTTGCATTTCGGATCATAATCATCATATAACAAAATATCGGTTCAGAAAAACAAATACAGTAAGCGCCAAGTACCAAGTTTAAGTGAAAAGTCATCGTGTATCAACCAACAAAATGATGAGCAAAAAAGCATAGAAATAAAACTAATATATATATATATATATATATATATATATATAAGAAATATATTAGACATACACGTTTTTGGGCCATATAAGAAATATATTATACGCGTTATTTGGGCCATACAAGATATTTATGGTAGGAAACAATGAATCCCAGCACCATTCAACAAAGTAGACACACACCGTCCCATCAACCATCTGATATCAATTTCCTCTGTCGATAAACCATCCTATGAATGAAAACGACCTTTTGTTTTGTTCGTTTTTTTTTTGTTCTGTTTTATTATTTTTTTTTTTTTTAAATTTTGTTTTAATAGAAAATATGTTTTTTAAGAGAGCAATATATATAGCTCGTTGACACAAGATTCACAACTGCTGTGATTTAAATATCTATTGTGAACGCAATATTAAAATAACCACGAAAAACATATGATACTAACGTACAAACACAGCATAATTTATGATTCTGTGTGCGCTCTATGGCATTCCTCAGGAAAACAAACATGAATTCTGGGTACATGCAATCTTTTCTAGAATTATAGCAACAAAGCAAGCAACTACTAAGGGAACAAGTAAACGGTCATTTGAGGAACATACACAACAATGGTATGTGTCTCCCATTCCTAAAAAAGTGTTGCAACATTTATGAAGATTATATCCATATTAAATCAAATACAAGAAACAAGAAACAGCAGAGAAAATCCAAAGGCTTAGCCATCGTTGGCTAGTTGGGCACGAAAGAGTACAGCCACATCATGGCTGCTCGTCAAATGACCCAGCAGATCAAACTAAAAAGAGGGTTCCGATATCAATAATAATATAGTCCAGGTAGTACTTGGATGTATTCTTGCATGTGTCAATGTGTCAAAGAACAAAAATCAATGGGGTCATTAGAAGACATCAGGATTAAAACGCCCGGGGATGGAGTTACTCTGCTGAGCTTGCTTGAGGTGCATCGTCAGAGCATAGTTATTGACCTGGTTCATCACAAGTGAAACATAATCAGACTCGAGGAAAAATATAAAGGCATCAGCATAAAGTTGAATCACACAGTTTGGAGGTTAAGGAAACATGGATTGGTGATCAAAGATTACATGACACGTTTCTATAAGAGCAATAACAAATAAAAAATGAGGCATTGTTAATGATGTCATTGGGAAGGCAGGTTATATATTTGCAAGTGGATGTCAATAACCCATGGTTTAAGGGGAAAGAAACTGTCCAGTCATAAAACATTATTCGGTTAGAGGGGTTAGAGGGTACCAATATATATATAATAACGGTTTTGTCTCTTTTCTATTTCAACTTTTTACTTCTTCTTTTTTTCTTTTCTTTTTTTCTTTTTTTTTTTGATGACCAAATCACTACTCAACAATAAAATATTAACTCAGATGCATTTTGAGTTTGGGATCTTGACCTCAAGAGTTCTCAGCTGCTCCTGGTATTGAGATACCAGCTGCTTCAGATGATGCAACTCCTGGTTCTTATCATCAAACTCCTTTTGGCGTTCATGTTGAATAGAAACCGCTCGCTTGAGGATCGTGTTTTCATGAATCATTGCTTCTAGCTGTTCCTTCAGCATAATGTTCTCCTACAATATGATAAATGAAAAGTCATCATCCATTACATTCTATATTCCCTGGCCCCAAAACCAACAAAAATTAAAAAGGAAAAGGAAAAAAGAAAGAAATATAACAAGCCCCACAAAACAAATGAACTTCGAAGCAAAGAATAATAATAATAATATAATCTGCAGTCTGCACTAATAAAGAAGTTCATGTTACAAAATTATAAAAATAAAAAATAAAAATAACCACCTGTTGGAAGCTCTGAACTGCCTCCGAAGTTGCACGTGCACGAATGGACTTCTCCAATACCTCAAGCACTCTGGAGGCACGACCTCTAGCATCATCTACATTAGAGGCACTCATCATTTCTCTAACTAAGAGTTCCACCCACTCTGCACCATCCATTGGCAGATTTTGTGCTGATGACTCGGTAGATGCAACCTCGCCATTAAGTGTCACCATGCCTGCAACATGAATGTCAATAATATTGCTCTTTTATTAAGCGGGACTTAGATCCAAAAGTGGCCTAGAAAGTAGAAATGAACAATCTGATGCAAAATCAAATTCAGTGCCGATGATATTGTTATTATATGATTTCTGATGAAAGCTGACTCGCAAAATTGGGATTCAGGTGGAGGACAAAACTATATTACAAGGAAACGCCACAGACAACCAATGCAAGGGGACTATACTGGAGCCTTCAACTACGATCCTTACAAGAAACACATATCTCCTATATGATCAACAAAAGAATGAATTAACTAGGGGAACTTTTTTATTAACCAAAACTGCAATAAATTCAAAAAACCAAAATCACAATGAATTCAATAAACCATAATTGCTACGAATTCAACATCAATTTTTCTAGTTTGTAGTTGACAACTCCAAATTCTCAAAAGTGTGCCTACTCCGTTGCTTTGATAGACACCAGGAAAGGCACAGAGGCCTCCCTGTCAGCCCTACTTCACCCTTTTACCAGCACAACCCCCAAACATAAAATCTAAAAGCTCTTCAAACAAACTCATCCTTCCCAGAGAAAACCGAAAAAGATGAGCAACAACAACAAAAATTCTCTAGCCACCACACTGCATCAAGACGTGTTTAACAAACCCCTTAGTCTCTTTCCACATGAAATACCAATTCAAGCACAGTTTCGCCCTACACCCTAAGCTGTCAAAAATCAAAATCGCCTCTAAAGCCACAGCCCGACCTTGTCATTCCTATCAAACTTCACCTCAAATGTCCTCCCTTGCCCTGCATAAAGAGGCACTACAGTTTTATCTTAAAGGGGGAAACAGCATTCATCACCTCCAATCCTCCATTTCACTTCTGCTGAGACATTTCAGAGGAAAAAAACATGTCAAAAACCCGAAAGATGAGTATATCGAGATAAACTAACTGTTGACATCAACCACAATTAAACATTGGACTTCTTAACATCATGCAAGCCACATTTCATCAAATAAAACAATAACTGCTATCATATCAAATATTAAAAAGCTTCCCCAGATTTTCTTACTAGAGTTATATTTGGGGAAAATTAGAAGCAGCCTGCTTATGTTCAAATGATGCATGAGTTGAGATAAATTTAACTGTTGATGATAAGCAGTATCAACAACAATTGAACGCGTGAACTTTTTAACATCATGCAAGCCTTATTTTATGAAACAAAAAACAATTAGGTTATATAAAATCTTTCTTAAAATTTTATCATCATCACTCCACCATCTATGATTTTGTTTTATCAAGGGTTCATAAATACACTGTGAAAATTATATCTTTAAAGAGAAAAATAGAGGCAAATGAGGTTTCGCTTGCAAGTAATTTAAACAGTAACTCCCACTCTCCCACACACAGAAACACACTTGTTAAATAATAATAATAATAATAATAATAACAAAAATAAAAAAGAAGAAAGAAGAAAGAAATAAAAGAAAGAGGAATCTTAACTTCTCAAGTGTTATCTGTAGTTCAACTATTTAACCTACTGAAAAAAATGGAAGAAAACTGTTATGCACACCTGAGGCTTCAAATTGAACGTCTGCTTCTTGTGCCGTGCCAGATTTGCTCGCAGCAGAGTCCAAGTTCTCAGTAGATCCCAAACGTAGCTCATTCAGACTTCTGATAGCCGAATCCAAATCATCACCACATTCTTCGAGAGCTCTCTCAAGAAGCTAAATGAAAATATTCAAATATGTTTATTAACTCATAATACTACCAAAACTGTGCTTATAAATACTCCAAAACTTTCATCTGATATAAAATATAGGCAAACATAATGTGTGTAACGGCAGAATAGAAGACCCACTTTAATCATACAAGTTTAGAAATATATTTTTGAACGCTCATCATCCTTTTGTGCTGGATAGAAAAATAGGTGGTCGAACTAATAAGATGACGATTATAAAATCATTTTTCTGGCACAGGGAAGTATTCAAGACGAATCAAAAGTGGTTTCTGATCAATCTGAATAATAAACCAGATTATTTGTCCTTGCTTCATATATTTCAGAATTCAAACTGCATTCTTTGTGATGTTGCACCATATCAATTCAATCATTCTTCAAAACTACATGGGTGAATTATCAGACCAAATCATGTTTATATAAATTATATATATATCAGACCAAATCATAAATTTATTACCCATATGACTTCCCTACTTATGAAAAATAAGTTTCAATATATAGAACAAATATGCAATCAAAATGATCATCTCATCAAGAAATCAATGATAATTCTAAGCTCATAATTCCTCACAGAATCCAATCACTATTTACCAGCGAATCCCATATACTTTATGAAATTGAACAAAACCTAAAAATAAAAAAACCTAAAAAAATATTTTGAATAAATAAAACAAATAGAGAAAAATAAACCTGCTTGTCCATGTCAGGAAAATGAGCAGTGAGATGATCTAACAGGGACGAACGCGATGAGGGATTAGAAGAAGGAGAGGCTGTGGTGGGCCTCGGAGGAGAGAACCGAACAGGCGACGAAGAAGAACAGCGAATTCTCTTGGAAACTGGCGGCGACGATTGCAGGTCTTCAAAGAAGGATGATCTCTTGCCGCACACTATGGCAGACATGTTGTGCTCAGTTTTCTTCCTACACTCTGAGCGAGGATCGATTCGCTTCCTCTCCCCCTTTATTGTTCATGCAGCGATCCGATCACAATTCATTCATCAATTATTCCTCGGTCCGATCACAATTCAATCACCGATTGTTCTCGATCCGATTGGTCCTTTGAAAACCTATTTCGAATCGCCGAAAGACAAACGATAAGATATTTCTCTATTTATCTAATTTAATATAATTTCTCTCCCTAAAAAACACCAGATTGAATCAATCAACCGGTTGCATAGGGAGGAAGAAATATAATTATTCTATCTTCTTTCTCTCTCTAGCAATCGTCAGTTCTGTGATTGAATCGAGTCTCAGGGATCAATGTAAACTAAAAGTTTCTCTCTCTATAGATTAGGGTTTGTTTCCAGAAGAGAAATTGTATCAATTCAATGGCCATTTTATTTATCTGTTTATCTATAGAGGGTGGTCTCCGACTCAATTTCATGTCTGCGGAGCTATCCACGAAAAGGAGTAGGTATCATCAACTAGCAGGTTGGGAAATATTTGAGAGAGCCAGTTAAATGACACCACGTAGCAACTCAGTGGCCACTGGAGACGCGTGGTGTAATTTCATTCGTCTTCATGGAAGAAACCCTTCCCATCTGTAAGACTTTATTGTGATTGTTGAACGATAAAATGTAGGCCAATAAAAAATAAATAAATAAATAACTTAAGGTTGCCCCGTCATAATTGCAGATGATGGATAATATATATGAGTAATGGTAGGAAAATTAAAAAGTAATTTTTGAATTAATTTTGAATTTGTCGTGATTCTTATCACGTGTTAAATAATTATTTTTTTTATATTATTTAAGTAAATGAGGTAAATAAAAACATATCAAATTCGATACTTATTTGGTATTAATTCTGCGATAAATATTTCCTTGTAATATTTTCTCTCATCATTACAATCGGGTTTAAAGTGACACCGGATTAAGGATTGAGTTTTACTCTGATAATAATTATAACGAGTAGGCACTTATCTATTTATTCAAAAGTTTAAGTTATTATGTAGTGCGGCATACCCATCCATTTATACCCAATCAATTTTCCATTCAAATTCGACGTGAGACAAATATTTCCTTGCAATAAATTGATATCACTGGGCTATAAAAGCCCTTGATGATCTAATAATGTCATAACATCAAAACTATGGGCGAACTATGGGCAGTAATTGATTGAATTTGGACAGATAATTGGGTGGTTTTGAACTGATCATAAATAGGCGAATCAATAGTGGGTCAATAACTCATTTATAATGGGTCATAAAATGATTGTTTATTAAATGGCCAGTTAACACATGCCCAATCTAATTGCCTAAATATTTAGATATAAATTGTTAAATTATTTTAATTGTTGAATACCAAACAAACATATAGATTTTTAAATTAAATTTATTAATTTTTTTGTTTCGGTGGTTACAAATAAATTTCCTTTTTTTAATTATTATTTGTTTTTAAATTATTATGAAAAAAAATTCACTATACAATTTATTTTGAGAGTTATCACAATCTAAAAATAAATAAATAAATAAACAGAAGAGAAAACGAGGAGAGAGAACTGGAGAGAAGAGAGAGAAACAAGGGGAAGATATAATAGGAGGAGAGATAAAAAGGGGAGGAGATAGAATGGCAGAGTTATTACAGATTATATATATTTTTTATAATAAAAAATATTTATTTTTTATTTTTTTTGTTGTGTGTTTTTTTGAGGAGATAGATAAGAGAGAAGGGAGATGAACAAAAGGAAGATAATAGGAGGAGAGAGAAAAAAAAAACGGTGAAGAGGTAGAAAGGGAGGAGGAGAGAATAATAGAAAGGGAGGAGAGATAAAACAAGAATAGAGAAATTGAAACAGAAAATATTAATATTAATAATAATAATATTATAACATTTATACTTTCAATAATAATATTATTATTATGATTGTTAAATAAAATAATAATAATAATTGAATTTACATTAATGAACATGGGTGTCCACTTTTAAACTACCAATGACAATTGAATGAGTACAATTGAATGAGTACTCATTTTTTTATCCATTATTAATTCATTCATTTAAATTTAAATGCCTAACTAATTTAATTTTAATAAATTAACTGAAATAATTTAATAAATTTGAGCTTAAATTACGGCCCTTAATCAAAACTATGAAATAGTGACCAAAATCCTGTACGTTAACATATTAAGCAGCATGTCAGGTCGCTTTATGAATAAAAATGTTCAAAACAAAATAAAAAATGAATTAGCCAACCTTTTAAATTCGCAGATATAAACCAAAAAAATATGTGTCAATTTTATATCTTTTCAACTTACCGATAAAATATGGGTTCCAGAATATCAAATTCTAAACAAAATAACATTTGTCTCTTTTGATATTTGTCGGTATTAAAAAATGTAAAGTAGTTGAATCTCATTTTCTCTCTCCACCGCCCCATATCCAAGGTAGCAGTTGATTTTTTAAACGTCTACTCAATTATTTGTCTTGGATATTGTGGACGTCCAATTGCGGAATCCAATGAAAAATCACGAGTTATAATATTTGGTAGTATAGATAATTAAAGTTGGGAAAATGATATTATGGCCAACAAATTTTCACCGACTTTCTACCGACTGATTTACCTAGTGTGACAGATTCAATTTCTTACTGTTCTTTTTTTTTTTTTTCTCTCTCTAACTCCTTTGTTTCTCAACTTCTTAGCACAAATTTATAGCCCTGAATCTCTCAACCCTATGTTCTCTCCCGTCCCCTTACCGTCATTCTCAAATTTTTTTTTTCTCACGGATTTGGAGTCCCAAATCTTCCGTTTGTTCTCTCTGGTTCATTCTTGCATTCCATCCCTAATTTGTTTGGCATAAATTTGTAGTCCTAATCTCCCACTTCATTCCCATTGCACTGAGAAATTTAGGACTAAAAATTTAAGATCTGAAATAATTAGACTAAAAAAATTATGATTTTAAATGAAGGGAAACAATAGAAGTTTCACATATCAAACAAAATAGAACCAAAAAAAAAAATCCATTTAGAAAAATCATAAAAAAATTTTACATAACTTTAAATTCATATCAAATCGGCAGGCTATTTTTGTTGGTTGTAATCCAATTATTTTTTCAATTGTTATGTTGTTGGAGGTGGTCTGTTTGTTTTCATGGAAGAAAGAAAAAAGAAAAGATAAAGAAATAGATAAATAAAAGGAAAGATGCGTGGAGAATGAAGATAAAAGTTGCCAAGAATTTCATTATCATTGGACACTATTCAGCCACATAGGTGTTGTTAGTGGTAGGTTTATTTTAGTCGGGCCAAGTATCGGCACTCTTAAAGTTATTATACGGACTTTGAAAATAATTATATATATACTAAAAATTATTAATTTATATTAATTTTTTGTTTGATTAATATGATAGTTTGGAAAAAAACTAAATTAAAATTTTGCTGTCGTTAAAGTTTATACTCCCTTTAATTATTTTATAGGTCTGTTAGTACTCTGTGGATCCAAAAACCAAAAATCTAAATTAATTAATTTTACAAAAATGAAAAAGATATAAGAAGACATATTTATTCATTTATTGAACAAAATGATGGAAATATAATTAAATTTTTTATTTTGCCATTTTCCTGTTATAAAATAATGATTTTGTAAGGAGGTTATGGTAGTTTTATAAGGACAATAACAACACGCACAAAAAAACAGAGTCCTAATGCTTGCCTCTTCATTTATATCGTCCCATTTCTTTCCTTGTTGCCAAATTATCCAGAAAATATCTCAAATTTTTTTTTTTTTCCAACATTATTTCCACTTTTCTTTTGAAAAGTTAAGAATTAACTATATGCAGTATTGCAATCTATACAGATTAGTGTACTGTCTAGTAATAATTAATTATACGCAATCTATACAGATTACTATAATCTGGTGGTGTGTACATCTCAATTCGAACATATGAGTATTAATAAATATAATAATTAAAAGAGATGAGTTTAGAGCATTTAATTCGATCGAGATGCATAGACGAAATTCAATCTAGGACACCACTGAAATTATTAATAAAACTTATGAACCACAATCGCACTAGTAAATAACAATTCGTTGTTAAATTTATAATTTATAAATCAAGTTCGAGCTAAATAAACTGTTCAAATTATTTCTAGGTACATATAGGGAGACAATTATTGATAATTATTTTGGATCTCCTGAAATTATCTCCCTGTGAAATTAACCATGATGAATTATTTTGACTATAAAATTCAATATGCAAAGCAAAATAATCCTATAAAATCATCTCAATAAAGCATGCAACTCATCTCAATAAAGCATTTTTCAATTAGCTGGGGGTCAAAATTAGGGTTGTACAAAAATTCTATAAAATCGAATATTCAATTTGGAACTAAATGAATCGGACAATTTGGTTCGGTTTACCAATGATTTGGTTATGTCACGGTTCCAAAGAATACTAAATTCGAAGTTTTGAATATATTAACAATTTTGAATGTGTACACACAAATTTGTATATGTAAAATAAAGAACAAAATAGGGGGCAAAAATAATATTTTATTAATTTATAAAACTTGGAGTACAATCCTCTGCATGTAATAATATTCCAAAAAATAAGGTCCTCTGATTCGATCTCCTTTTTGTGGCTGGTTAGATCCAAGGGCTGCACAAGTTTTATCTTGAATCACCATGGGATGTGTATGAAGAACGACACGATTTGATGTACTTGTTGCTGATCACCTTGAAATTTGATGACGAACGGTACGATTTGATGTGCTTGTTGTTCTTCGTCTTCGGAGAGGATTTGTTGAATTTGGTGAAAAACGGCACGACTTTGGATGTGCTTGGTGTTCTTCGCCTTCAGGTTTACCCTCTGGATTTCTGGACTCTGAATTTGCGTACCTTCTGAATTTCTGAACTCTGAATTTGTGTACCTTCTGAATTTCTGAATTTGTGTGTCCTGAATTTCTGAGTCTCTGGATTTCTAAATTCTGAATTTGTGTTCCCCCTTCCTCCTTCCTCCAGGCCTTTATTTATAGGCTTCTTTGATTAATTGCCAGACCGGTTATATTGTGATAATTATCCTTATAAATAATTATTCCAAATATAATTTATTATGAATAAATATCTTTTCATTTAATTATCTGGGTTGAGCTAATTAAATAATTTAAATTTAAGTGGACCGAGCTTGGGCCAATTAAATAACTTAGTTAAACATTAGGCTCATATTTAATGGATCCATTTGTCAAAACTAAAGCCCACTAAAATTTTAAACTCGTATCAAGGAGTTCTTGATTTTTTTTTTTTTTTTTTTTTCAAGTAGACAGTTTAAACTCGCGTCAAGGAGTGTCATTTTTTTTTTTTTTTTGAGACAGTTTAAACTCGTGTCAAGGAGTGTTATTTATTTATTTTTTTTGAAACAGTTTAAACTCGTATCAAGAAGTTCTTGATTTTTTTTTTTTTTTTTTTTTCAGGTAAACAGTTTAAACTCGTGTTAAGGAGTATCATCGACAGTTTAGGCTCGTATCTGGGAGCACTTCAACTTTAATTATTCTTCTACTTTGCAAGAATTAGACGGCAATCTAAACCTATGCTGAAGGGCACAGATTATCTCGTCGTCACTTTGAGGATTTTCTTCTTGGTTTCCTTAACTTAATGCCCCTTGTGATTTTGCACTTTCGGTTGAAGTCATTGTTATAGCATGGTGCGTTTTTTGATGCAAGTCTTTCGAGATTATGCTTATAATGAAAACTGAAGCTACTTCGTCATCCGAGTTATGAAGTAAATTGTTTTTTTTTTTGACTCACTTCCCTCATCTTCTTAAAAGTTGTTGGGTATATCAGGAACATCTTCTCTAACACCATGATTTTCCATGCTAAGCTCCATGTCGTGGGCTCAAGTAACAAGCTCTTCAAATATGCGAGGCTTGATCCCTAGTAGGATGTAAAGAAGCTTCTAGTGCATGCCTTGCATACATGCTTCAATTGCAGAAATTTCAGATAAACGATCCTTGTAATCAAGACTTAAAGCTCACCAACGGTTGATGTAGTTAACCACGGGTTCACCCTTCATCTGTTTTGTGTTTGTAAACTCCAGCATACTTACATTACGACGAGTGCTGTAAAAACAGTTGAGAAATTCTCGTTCCATCTACTTCCAACTGTCAATACCTTCAGCTTTGAGGTCTGTGTACTAATCAAATGCATTCATTCTGAGGGAACGAACAAATTGTTTGACAAGGAGATCTCCGTTTGTACCAGCATTGCCGCAAGTTTCTATAAAGTGTACGATATGTTGCTTGGGATTGCATTTTCCGTCAAACTGTTGAAGCTTTGGAGGTTGATACCCAATCGGCATTTTTAAGATGTCAATTATTTCTGTGTAAGACTTTGAGTACATACGAGCACTTTAAGGAACACCACTGTATTGTTCTTTTATGCAATTCACTATCATGTCTTTAAGTTGTTGGACGGAAAGTAAGGTGACGGAGACAGCATCAATTGTTGGATTGGCGGACACGTCATTTTGATCATCAATTGGAGTGTTATCTGGCATGGAATTAGAATAAGGAATTCGACATTTGCTTGAGTCAGCATTGTCGTCACGTAATTTTAACTTTTTTGTCAGCGAAGCAATTTTCAGATCTTGCTTCTTGAGAGAGTGTTGTAATCTTTCAATTACACGGGCCATAGTCGTCAATTGTTCTTCGTATGAGGTAGTACTCGTCATCATTACTGGCATAGTGATGGAGTCAGAAAAAATCTTTGGCCTTGGGTGGACCAGCCTCGAACTTGAACTTGTGACTGAAGCAACCTTTGAGATTGTAGGAACCTTCCACCTTACCCCTAGCGGGGTGAAGACGATATGAATTTGAGTTGTTACTTTGACAGATTTGGCAAAATTAACTCTTATCGCATCATGCTGTTTTTTGGCAGGAACGGATGCTTTGACCATGCTCCACATCATTGAACTTGCAAAGATTTTTGTACCACTTGACGAAGTTACAACCTTCTTGCCACCTTTTTGTGGTGGTATTGATGTTGTCCGTCACGACTGCGATGTCTTTGGGGGTATTATTGCTCTTTGTTTTAATCTTGTTGGAAGCCATGAATTTTGACGACAAGATTTTTTGAAGATTTGATGTACGAGAAAGATATGAGAGGTAGAGAAGCTCCCACTGGGCGTGCCAGAAATTTGTACACACAAATTTTGTATCTGTAAAATAAAGAACAAAATAGGGGCAAAACTAATATTTTATTAATTTATAAAACTTGGAGTACAATACTCTGTAATAATATTTCAAATAATTAGGTTCTCTTATTCGATTTTTTTTTTGTGGTTGGTCTGATCCAAGGGCTGCATGAGCTTGATCTTGAATCACCGTGAGATGTGGATGAAGAATGACACGATTTGATATGCTTGTTGTTCTTCGTCTTCAGAGATAATTTGTTGAATTTGGTGAAGAACGGCATGACTTTGGATGTGCTTGGTGTTTTTCGCTTTCAGATTTGCCCTCTAGATTTCTGGCCCTCTGAATTTCTGATTCTCTCAATTTATGAACCTTCTGGATTTATGAATTTTTGGATTTCTTGACTTTGAGTTTGCTTACCTTCTGGATTTCTGAACTCTGAATTCCTGGATTTCTGGACTTCTGAATTCTGAATTTGTGCACCCCCTTCCTCCTTCCTTCATGCCTCTATTTATAGGCTTCTTGGATTAGCAGGATAATGACACGTGTCCTCTCCTGATAATGAAAAAATCGTAACTGGCCCGGCCCGGTTATATTATGATAATTATCCTTAAAAATAATTATTCTAAATATATTTTATTAGGAATAATTATCTTTCCATTTAATCATCTGTGCTGGGCTAATTAAATAATTTAAGTGGACCAAGATTGGGCAAATTAAATAACTTATTAAACATTAGGCCTATATTTAATGGGTCAATTTGTCAAAACCAAAGCCCACTAAAATTTTAATGTCTACAAAATGTATTAACTTATATTATAGAAGTGAATGTATTAGTAGTTTTGAATGTCTTAGTTAACTTAGTTTATTGGTGTGCATTTTGATTTTGAAATATAAATATTTATATAATAATTAGTTAAAAAATAAAAAATAAATAGAGGAACTGTGGAACCGAATCGGCATTTCATAGTTTAGTTGGGTTCACTTCCTTTGGTTAAATGGTTTAATCTGATTTTAAATTTTTTGAAACCATTAAGAATAATTTGATTCTAAAAAATTATCAAATTGCACCACTAAAAAACATGGTATATTTCCTAACAATATTATTAACTCGTGCATTCAAATGTAGTGCTCGTAAATTATATGCAATCTCTTGTTTATCTCCTGTAATAAACATCTTAAATGTAGTGCTCATAAATTAGTTTTTGTTTTTTACTATACTATTATTCTCAATGGGATCCTCTTGTTTAATACGTGTGCGTATGGTTAGGAGTGCGTGCTTACCACCTTTGTGCACTGTTCGGTATGAATGAAAAAAATTAGATGGAAGGGAGAGAAAAAAGAGATGGATAACACATCCCTAGAAAAGAGATTGTTTTTTTATTTTTTATTTTTATTTTTTGTTCGGTTGGATATGAGATAAGAGACTATGTTTAAGAAAGAAGGAAAAAGAAAGTTTTAATTACTTTTATAGTTTTACCGTTATATCCTATAATATTTATAATATTGTAATTTAAAACTTTTATAATTTATGATAATTTATAATTTAAAACTTCTATAATAGTTCATTCATCTTCCCTTATATATTCCGTCCATTTTTTTGTGAATGAAAATTTATAAATGAGGAAGGATGACTCATCATTCATATTCTGTCATAAAGGAAGTTTATCCATTCCTTCGTATTTTTAATATACATATCTTCCTTCATTTCTACCAAACACAACATTAATTTGCATCTAATTAGGAGGCATAAGCAAATACGAATGTCAACAAATTTTTTTCCCGAAAAATGGGAAGATTTGGAGACAAAGATTAGTGAATAAGTAGTATTTTCATAATTCTGAAACTAATATTTAACTCTCATCTTATAATATTTTATAAAAAAATTATGATAATAAATTAACTCTTATTCTATATATTCCATACAAGAATAGAATCATTTTCTTTATTTTATCCAAACTTAATAATAAAGGTTATTGCTATCTTTTATTTTATTTTATTTTCTTTCCTCTCATATTTAATGCTATCATTTATTTTCTATTCTTATTTATCGAAACTAATCCAAAGTGACTCAGCCATAACCCATGCACCAAGCCTTCCGCGATTAGAGTTTGAGAGGATCAAATGTCACAAGAAGGACATTTGATGTGGGTTTCTGTTGCATTACGCATTTAAACTCCACTGAGACCTCCACCAGTGCACACGAGAAGATCGTTTTCCGTCTATAATACCCCCGTCTGGATTGTACGACCCCACAAACGCCTCTCTCTCATTTCTTCCTCTTGAAGAAAACCAGCTACATCCTTCTCCCATCCTGCTCGCTCTCGCTCAAAATTATATTCGTACTCTCTCTCAAAATTATATTCGTACTCTCTCTCTTTCTCTGTACACACACATATATAATACACACATCACCGGCGATGCAAGAAGCGGAGTTGCACGATTTGTCAGACGACGCCGATTATGCGGCGTCTCAACAGCAAGTAAGCAATTACTAAACACGAATTATCTTTGGCTTCAATCGCATCATTTTCGGATACATTTACTTACTTGTATATATCTTCAAGTAGATGTTCAATCAATCAACCATGCATGTCGCAATTATAATTTTCTTGGTAATTAATTAGAAGTCAATTTCCATGATTGCTTCAAAAGAATTTGCCTTAATTGATAGGCGTTGATCTCAGATTATTGAATTCAATCTAGATATGTATTTACCTAAAATTCATGAATTCAATCAAGATTTTGTATATGCAATGTGTTTTAGGGTTCATCGGAAGTGACTCGAATTGATAGTAAAAGGAGTACGTTTAGTGAACCGGAAGGTGCGGAAATTGTTTATTCGAAAGACAACGTTACAATTCATCCAACTCAATACGCATCGGAGAGAATCAGTGGGCGATTGAAGTTAATTAAGCAAGGATCTTCTCTGTTTATGGTAACCATCGCTATTACACATCTCAAATTCAGTATATATTCTGTGTCTCCCTATATAATTGTGGGACTGAATTTTGTATGTTATGTTAGACATGGATTCCCTATAAAGGGCAAAGCTCAAACGCAAGGCTATCTGAGAGAGGTCAGGCTCAAATTATTATCTCGAGTTACATTTATGTATATGCATTATTGCACGTGTATACGCTTGCATCTATGGACTATGTCACTATGGATATATAATTGCTGAATTTACCCCGGGTGATATCTCATGCAGATAGGAATCTCTACACAATAAGGGCAGTGTCTTTTACAGATGTGCGGTCAATTCGGAGGCACACTCCTACACTCGGTTGGCAGTACATAATCGTTGTATTATCATCAGGTTAGACTCTGTATAATGTATACATTATATTTGAGTTTTTCAAATGTTTTTAGTGCGGAAATAGAATATTATGCTTTGAAGTGTCTTGAATACTGAAGTTGCACCTTATTAATTCTTTCATGAATTTATGGTGCACATCTGATGCATGTGGTTAAATAATGTTTTGTTTGAAAATTAATGGACTGAATACACACTCATGATCTGCAAATGAACATGTTTTTTCCATGACGATTGTGAGATATAGAGTTACTACATTCTGAAGGAGTTGTACCTGTTTGGTTAGTTGATTAGTAGATAGGTGTTAAATCATAACTGCCTTGTGGCATTACCAACATGGTTGTCATAAGCACTACCAGCAATCAGATTTTTAATGCTAGAATGTTTCTATCTTGTTAATACGTAATACTCTGTTTCTTCGGTGTACTTTTTCTTCCCTACATATTTCTTCTGCACTTATTTTCTATATATATCATACGAACTGCACTGCAGCTCATGTCTGTATGTTGCTGTTTATTTCTGTATTTTTCTTTGGTAATTTTGTCAGCTGATCTTGATGGGCTTTCTGTCATTCTTTTAATCTCATGATGTGATCTTTATCACATAAATTATTTTCGCGAAAGTATTCAATTGTATGTTATGTGATATTTCAGCATTTACTGATGTCCTATCTTACGATTACTGGCAAGGGATGATGTTTCTTTGCTGATCTTTGGACCTTTGCTTTTGCAACATGAGAAGACTATTTTATTTTATTTTATTTAGTTTTGGGTTTAAAGATTCTATTCATTGTATGTCTGGAATTTTTTGCAGGACTTGCATTTCCTCCCCTTTACTTTTACAATGGAGGAGTCAAGGAGTTCCTTGCTACAATAAAACAACATGTATTTCTTGCAAGGTTGGTTATATTTTGTGGTGCAGTTATTGTCCATCTTTTGTATTTCTATTGTGATCCATGATTACTTTTAGTTTCCAGTGCTACATATAGAAACTCAGTATCCATGAGGTATTGAAAAAGAACTATTCTCATGTTGTGGTTAGAAGAGTATTGTTTATGGAAATGCATTTCTACTTTCTGCAAATGAAATAAAATGTAATAAAATGAAAATGCATTTATATATATATACAATCCTTCATGTATGGCCATGCGATAAAGTAAAATTATTGATATTCATGGGAGACAAAAAATGTATGAAATAATACTGATGCAGTCCATGAGAAGTTCTTGTTTTTATTTTGAATAATTAATCTAAACAATAGGACAACTTTGGACAGTTTTTAATTTTTCTGCTAGTATGGTATCAAAATTCTTTTGTTTCTTAATAGAAAAAAAGAGTTTCTTAATAGAAAAAAAGATAATTATCTTGTTTTAGGAGTCAGAAGATTTTTTTATTTATTTATAGTAATTTCTAGATTTGATTGGAATGGGTTGTAGCAGAGTTACATAGTTTGTATTCTAGGTCAAGTTGTTGCATCGGGTTTCTGTTTGTGGATTTATTAAGCTTATTACATAGGTTTTACTAGTCAAAGATTAATTTTCCAAATATGGAGTCGAGTTCAATTGGATTTAGGATTATTTAAAGCTCTACTTTTTTTCTTTTTTTTTTTTTTCCCTATATAATTCTTTAAATTAAGTTGAGATTATTTTTAGTCTAAAAAATTTTTCAAAGCTTTTTTGAATCATTATAGAGGTGCTGTGTTTGCCTATTCTTTTACATCTATACTGTTTCAGCATAAATATTTGGAATATTACAAATCAGGGCCTTAATATGTTTCCTGTCAGTCCCACTTTTAGGTTGAGTGTTTTCACCATATGAGTTCGTTTCTAAATTCTCATACATAATTATATTTCCAGGTCAGCAGAAGATGCGAATGTATTTCTTGTTAATGATTTTCAAGATCCTTTGCAGGTGTGCATCATATTGAGTACCTTTTTTGTTCTTGTCACTTACTTATTATATATATATATATTTGTGGATTGCTGCATATGATAAAATAATTTGGAAATTGAATGATGTGCTCCTGGATCATGTTTGTTTTTGCTGTAAAATGTGAATAATATTTATCATTGCCTAAACTGTCATAAATTGATAGTATGACCTGAGGCTGCTTGCCGTCTAGAGAAGAGACACATAGTCTGCTCTCTGAGCAGATTTCGCTTCCCACATAATCTGCTTCTCCACTAGTATTTTGATCAGTATTTTGATCTCTATCCCAGTCATCCAATTAGTTTTTCTGTTGGATTGCTTCTTGCTTGATGTCTAATATGATTGTACGTGCAACAACTATTGATTATCAACACTGTATAAGCATACTCACTAATCTAGTTGAATGATGAACATGCCCTCTTTGTCTGTGGTGGTGTCTTTGGTGGGAGAGGAATAGGAGGTATTTCGAAGGGGAGGAGACTCCTATCTGGGCATTGAAATTCTTTATCCTTAACTCCTTTGGAGGATGTTTTGGTTTTTGTGGATAGTTCGAGGTTATAGAGTTCTATTGTATACTTGCTTTTGTACATGGGATGCCCTCCCAGGTTGAGCGCCTTTTCTACATACACTTTACTTTTCCGGAAAAAAAAAGAAAAAAAAAAAAGAAAAAAAAAGAGAAAGAAGATGAATGATGAATAGGAAATAAACTAAAAGCTCTAGCAATCGGTTTTGTCCAAGTATGCTTAAAGACAATATATGATGTATGTCTAGGTTTTCTGAACAATATATATATATATATATAGAGAGAGAGAGAGAGAGAGAGAATGAAGTCTTAGACTTTAGGTTTTGAGAGGAAACTCAATTTCCGCAAGGCTACATCAATAGGGTTAAGCGTTGATCGATCGACACTAGTTAAGATACTTGATCAATCAAAGTCCCCTGCACTTGTATACTTGGAAAATTTCAAACATGGAAGTTTCCAAAAACTTAAAAACCATACCAAAAAGTATTTTTCAGAATCAAACATGGATTATATGAAATCGTAATTGATGAATGCATGAACCTTAATTTGATGAGTGCATATATGAGTGTCAGTTTACCTTTATACCCTTGGCATTGAAGATTACCTTTTTAGCCTTGAATGTTGCCCTTCTACCAGAGGTAATGAACTTACTTTCAAAATTATAACTAAAAGCAAAATTAAAAAAATTCCTTGCTCTAGTTTTAGACATGAAAATTGTCAATCTAAGTCCTATTGACGCAACAAGAACTACATCAAAATTGAATCCAACTCTGTCCACACGTAGAGGTTTTCAAACAAGCAAAGCAACCAATTTTTTTTTTTTTTTTTTTGTTGGTTGAGAATAAGTGGAAGTCATGGCCATCCAATCACAAGTGATAATACTCAATGGGACTCCTTCGATTTCTTCATAATAGATACCTGTGCAGAAATATAAAAAAATTGTATCCCAAAGTTGCTCTATTGCGGGGATATCAAGCAGATTCATTACATATATATATAAAGAGATATCCAAATGACCCTAATTATTGACTCTAAATAATCTTGGTATCACTTGAGCCAAATTCTCCAAATGAGGTCTGAAGGAGAGAGTTGACATCTCTCGGTGCAACCCAACCGAATCTTGGTAATCCAGAGTCTCTCTGGCAAAGACCTAAGGAGACTTTGCAATTTATTAAATAGTGACAGGCAGATTCATTACTCATGCACATAAGTACATAACTGATAGCACAAGCAACATAGTCAGTCGCAAGACTAAAATATGAACACAAATTTGGTTCCATTCAGAGGGCACTTTGATCCTCCTTGAGGAGTAGGATTGGGTTTATGAGGGGCTGCAGGTTTCCTGTTCATTGAGGCCAGTGGTTTTTCTTTTCTATAGTTTATTTTGGATGAGTTTCTTGTCCACCTTTGCCATTCATGGTTGACTGGTTGTACAATATTATTCCTATAACATTGTAAGATGCTGAGAGGCAATACTGCCTTCACTTATGGATGAAATATTATATTATTCTGTTGGTATATAAAACATTGAACTCTTTCTTAATTGCAATGCTTCCTTATGAAAACACTTTTGATTCTGTTGAAGCTAGTTTCTCTCTCTCATGAACAATGATACATGCCGAAAGGTACACACAGTCACCTTTATCTCAATTTATGTCGTGATTTTTTTGGTCAGCAAAAAAGTGTTGAAATTGTGAACTTTAAACTGCATATTTCAGTGGATACACCCAATTATTTTTATGTTTTTAAACCTTTCCTCGAGCCTTTGTAGCATAAAACATTTACCCAAATTAAAGCCTGTCACTGAATATATGGATGAGACTGGATTGTTTTTATTGTTCTGTTATCTTGATTGTAGGCTGATGGATAGGCTGAACTCTAGTTTCATATTATTGTTTGATCTTATTTTATATGATAAGATGTTTTGTTTTTATTTTAAAATAAGAGCGAAATAGAGAGATAAATATAAGACAAGGATGAGGAATGCCAGATTCTCTTTATTGCTTGACTTTATAATGAATAACTGCTGCGTTTTACCCTTTCATGTTTTGAAATTGTTTTCTACAGAGAACTTTGTCTTCCTTGGAGCTGCCCATGGCTCTATCTGTTGCAGATGGGCTATCCTCATCCATTTCAGTTGGTGATTCCTCCTCTCATGGAAGTCAGGAGAGGACTGATGAGGGGGCCCTTGTTGGAAGTCTCAGTAATATTCAAAAAAATGGGAGACACAGACAGAAGTCTCACGATCCTGCTCGAGATTTTTCAATCCATGTGCTGGAGAAATTCTCTCTTGTGACCAAATTTGCTCGAGAGACAACTTCACAGCTCTTCCGTGAGAATCATGGTGATGGCTTTGTTGATGATGAGAGGAAAAGCCATAACCATTCTACCCATGGATTTTCTCAAAACATGATGTCTGATGATGAACAAAATGTTCCAAATGAAATTCCTGTACTCTCAGACCCCCTGGAGGTAACCTTTTGATTCTTTCTCTACTCGGTAAATATTTGTATGTTGGCGGAAGGGGCCATTGCTTAGTGCAGTGGTAAAAGTTTGGGCTACCAACTGTGAGAATATGGGTTTGAGTTGAGTCTTTGGGAAACCACTTTGTGCAAATCGTGTCAAAGATTACGCCTATATCCAACCTATCCTTCCCAACACCATAATTAAGGAGGATCACATTGCATTGGCCTGTTTTTATATATGTCTAGGAAATATGTTACAATTCACTTTCCCAATACGCTATATGAAATTTTCAGTCTTGGTATACTATTGTTTTGAAATGTTTATATGTGCTTAAATGTAAATGGCCAGGAGAAAATATTATTTATGAATTTACTGGTTAGGCGCACATGCTTAATTTTAATTGAGATTTTTTCTTGTCTATTATTCTTTTATGAACTATGACTTGATCAAAGAATTATGTTGTATTTAGTATTTACATTCCAGTCGAGTTATATACCAGCAGTAGCTGGCCATAATATTATGATAACTATTATTCACAGTAAAGTGCATACTAGGGAAATATATATGCTGATCATGGCCTTTGCAGTTTGGATCATTCTGTTACATTGTCGATTTCTCTAGCTGTTAACAGTGCCAACTGGCTTTTCACTTGAGATCGCAATGTAATTTCAAAATCAAGATAACCTTTTCTATAGCTGGCCTTTTGGACATAGTAAAGTGCATACCATTTCTATTTTCAAATGAGATTTAAGATGAATGGAATTAGCTGTTTGACACTAGGAACCAAGTTGTTGGATTCATATCTTTAGAAGCACTTGCTGAAAACCAGATCATGTTTGGCCAGTTTTATCATCATTCTAAGGATTAGGCCACGTGCCTCAAATTATTGCCACCTCATGCTTGGATAATAAGACAATTTGCAAGTGAGGATATGGTCCAGTATATAGAGCTTCATCCTCTTTGGTTTCACTCATGCCGATTGTATTGTTTCTTAATGAAAATCTAAACTACAGGACTGTCTGATGCAGACCTCTATCCTTGTTAAACAGAAAACTCCATGTAGAAAACAAAATGATGTTGAAGAGGGTGCCACCAATCTGGGAGCTTTTGAGCTAATCGATTGTAAGGAGGTATCGGAAGGAGTCTTCGGTTTTATTTAGTTTTCTGGGTTTGTTTTGTTTGTTTGTTTGTTTGTGTTTTTTTTTTATTTTAAATTTTTTAATTTATTTTTTACCATTTTTCTCGTTCTTTGAGTAAAACATAACAAGGTCCAGTTCTTTAATTGCCGGTGCTTTCATAATCCTCCAGTAATATGCTTGGGATATTGTGGATGTACATTTTTCACATTCAGATGATTGGCCGACGTAGAAGTTATGTGCCTATAGAGTTGTTATTAACAAGAAAATAGTCTATTATCCTAATGAATTTATCATATTTTATGTTTGAATAACAAGATAATGTTTGAAAGAGTGAGGATGTTTACTTGGCGAGCTTGTTGGCAGCTTATGTCCAAGACAGTGGCATCCTAATGCAATTGGGAGCTTTTTGCCATGGTCTAAAAGTTATTAACTTGATTAATTGAAATAAAAATTATACCTTCATATTCACATTCAATGCTAGTAGTTCGGATTACTATCAAGAAAAAAAATTGCTGGTGGTTGGTTATTTGATTTGCTTCTCATCTTTTGGATCAGCATTGAGCAAGTACTGCTAAAAAATTAGTTTTTATTCTTGTCTTTGGTAAATGTATAAAATCCTATTTAGTTTGGTTTGATTGCCAAGGGCCACATGGCCATATGAATTATGGAGTTTGTTAGACCCTAGTTAATAAGTGTGAGGATATGGGATTGAGTTAGAGTAGACACCTTGTGGAAGAAAATGATGTGGAATGTTGGGCTTATCTCCAACCTTACCCTTTCTAGGTGGGACGTGCATGCCGGGAATGGCCTTTGGCATCTTCTCATATATGTTTTGTGTTAAGTAACTTAAGTTGCATCCGAATTATTTTTGTGTTAAGTAACATAAGGTATTTTCGGTTATTCAAACAGAACTTAGCTATAAAATTATTGATGCTTTAGAAGAAACTTATTGCTGTACCCTTCATATGGTTCTCTAAGTGAGAAAGAGAAGGGAAGAAGAACAAGATAGAATAATGGATGTAAGTTGTTGTTTAGGTCATGAAAGTGGAGATAGAACTAGAAGAGGAACAACTAAGCCTTTGCTGAAGTGTTTGCAACTTGTTTTGATATGTTGTACCTTATTTCCATATTTCACTCTCTTCAGATATTTCCACTTTTGAGATGTGAATATTTCTGGGCGAGGTGAAATTTTTTACGAGTGAAGATGAACTTTTTTAAAATATGCTCCCCATTTATCCTCTTATCTTTCCTCATTGGGTCGACCAAACTTTGGGACTGAAAGGACTTTTGAAGTTTTCCCTTTGTGTGTTTTCTTTTCTATCACAGTGAATTTTAGCTTAAAGTATACAAAAAAGTACGTGGAATGTGCTTGTTTTTCTTTTGGGTAGATCACTAGGTTATCCATGTAGGATGTTTGATTTGTACACTTGTACTTTAGTGGCTGCACAGTGTTACATGTGTAGTTTACCAACATGGCCCTTTTAGTCCCTAAGTTGTTGGACATATTCTACTAAAGTTCCAAGCCTGAACAAAAGTAACAAAGGTCTATTAAAGACCACCATGAGTAGTGTTTTTAAGAATCCATCTAGTCTAAGTTGACTAAGCCGACTTGGTTAGGATCAAAAGGGGCTGATGTGATACCGCGACACATTACAGTAAAGTATACTTAAATTGGACTTGTGAGTTGCTTCAGTTGAAGGTTTCATGTCTTAGTGCAATATGGCTCCTGAGATTCTGAAACATGTTACGGTTCATTACCAGAACATAGCAGTTGGCAGATGCCCAAAAGCCCAAACAATTCTGCTTCTTTTGGTGGAAAACTACTTCATTTCTTTCCCATCAAAAAGAACACCAGCAAATATAAAAAGCCATTCCTTCACACCCTTGTCAAAGCAAGTTTCTATATGATCCAGTACAAAATCCAACAACTTGAATGTTTTTCTCTTCCTATCTACCTAGAAAATCTATGAAATTGCACAAAGGACTTCCACTATATGCATGTCATTAGATCTGCATTCTCAACCATCCACTTTGGTGAACTAGTCATGATGGAGGTCCCATTGGAGAACATATAATCTAAACTGTCAATTGGTGTACTCAATTTTTCAGACAAGTGAGTCTTGTCTTGTAAATTATTGTGTAAGCGAAGTGTATTGGAAGCAGAGAAGCATTGGAAATAAAACACACGAAATCACAATGGAGATATCAAAAAGATGTATTAGTTCATGTCATTAAAAGTATTAAAACAAAGTTTCCTTAGTTATGGCAGATGGTTACGTTAAATAGTTGGATAAGGTTTGTTGAGTTGAATTTTGTTATGTTGAACCTTCATGAATTGTTCCAAATTTGACAAATAATTTATAGGCGCAGGAACTCTGAGGCTAGAATTTTTCTCATCAAAATTAGAAACTTAAATTAGCTATTAGTTCATAAGTAAAATAGTAAATATAACAAATAGGAGTTCAATATTCTTTGACCGGAGATGGAAGTTTCCTCAAATACCGATTAAGGAAATCCTTACCATAAAATAAAGATTATAAGAGGTTTTGAGAATTGAATGTCTTAATTTTTTTTTTTTTTTTTGATAAGTAACTTGAATTTCTTAATTTGAAAGCTCAAGTTGAAAGAAATTAAGGCATTCATTCCATATGCAAGGGGAGCAAGGAAGCTTGATGTTAGTCTTATTAGTGCCTTACAGTTTTGGATGTGTGCATCAAATGACTAAGCTTCCCAACTATGGATTGAGGTGCTTTCCTCCAGCTTAACCTTAAGACGAGTCTCAAGGTGTGATCCTTGAAGTCCTCCATAAATTGTGATTAGTTTTATAGTCTATAAGATATGGTCTAACTATGCGGTCATGAGCTGTTTAATTTTGTACCATTAGATCTTATCCTTGGAAGAAAAGGAAATTCATAGTTTTTTTGAGCGTGTGTCTTTTAGTGGTTTATAAAGATCTTGGTTTTGGCTGTGACCATTACCCATAATTTTACCAGCGGTGATATCATTACTTATGATCGCTACAAAAAATAAAACTTACTACAGTTGCTACTGCCCAAATTCCAATGGTCCTTACTAGCCGTTATGTGTCATTATGGCATATTAGCATAGTAACGAAAATCTTGGTGAGTGAGGTTGCTAAACCCCATATATCTATCCTCCTTTTTTTTTTCGCCACCCTTCCCTCGTAATTTCAACCTCTGAATGCATTGTTGACATACCCTACTCTCGAAAAGTTATAATGCACAATTTTATCTTGATTCAAAAATTGAGACATTTTATTCAATAGATAAGTTTCAATGTTTTTCCCTTGATTAAGGTTAGATTTTACAGAGATTTGTTGTTTGATGTTCAATTTTGATAGCTTATTAATAGATTTTGTTCCAGATTATATGTCATGGTTGGGCAAAGAGGTGGAAAGCCACAGTTGTGGTCAACTATAATTAGAGGTGGTAGGAGGGGGAATTAACTATAATGGAACTCAATATTGAAGAGTTTTGGAAAGTGACAATCACTTTCATTACCTAAGCTGTCATGTGCTTTTCATAAATTTATATTTGGACACGTGTATGCAAGAACAAAATCCTCAAAAAGACTGAAATTCTATAATTTCCTTCTTAAAACAGGTAAATTATATTTATTTTATTTGATCAGTATGAGATTTATAGAAAGGGAAACCTAGCATTGGTATATGAGTTCTTTAAATTTTTTTATTTTAAACAATTCATTTTCTAACACCATTTACAATAATCTTCTTTTTTTATTTTATAATCTTCTTCTTTTTTTCTTTTCTTTTTTTCCCCCCCTTATGTTTAAATGCATTTTTTTGGTCATCAAAATAGTGAAATGACTATTAAGATTTCTTTTGTTGGCAATCATTTAAAATTCAATGTAAAATTCATCACCCAAACAACACCATCTTTGTAACTTAAAAAATATTCACTAGAAATTCAATTCTACTGGATTTTTATGATTAAAACATGCTTATAAGTGCATTTTGGAGTAATTGTACAATGGAAAAAAATTTCATGGCTCTTGTAGTCTTGTACATTATGTTCGTCACACCATCTGCCCTTTTACTGCAACTGTTATAGGATTTCCACTATCGTTGTTTGCCTTTCGATTCTATATTTTGTTGTTGTATGATTGTAAGAGATGGGTGTTTGGGTATTAGGCTTTGCAGTCGGTGATGATATGACGTGTTTTCATTTTGATATAGAATGTCATATTCAGGGACGGTCTTTTGAATACAACGGAATTCCTTATATGATCATTATGTTGAATCTCAAAGGAAATTTTTTGAAGATCCTTGATGATATGTATGTTGCATCACTGTTCTTTATTTGAATATGCATAATTTTATGCTCATATACTGCTTAATACAGGCTCTCCAACAAAAAATATGCGCTTTTTAGGTTTAGGTAGTTCTAGTTCAATTACACTATCATGATTTCTCCCTAGTTATTATTGTAAAATTCTGTTGTCAAGATTTTGATTGATATTTATTTGTTTATACTTCATGAGTGTGCTACTTTCTTCTTGCGATGAATGTTTAAAACGACCTTCATTGTGTTGCATCTCAAATTAACGATCTTTTTTCTTTTGGCAGTTCGATAAATTAACACTAGTATGGGGAAAACCGCGTCAGCCTCCTTTAGGGTCTGAAGAGGTAAGGGCTCTGTTTTTCTGTCTATGTTTTGATGCTGGATCTGTTAAATGTGATGAGTTCATGGAGTCAATATATTTTTCTTTTAATAATTTTTACAATTCGTGGATGGCTTTTCTTTATGGCTAATTATTCATGGGTTGTTGCGGTTGCATTTTGTTAATTTCTTTCATCCAATTGTCTCCCAAAAAAAAAAAAAAAATTAACATTAATAATAATAATAATAAATAGAAATGCCCAGCAGCACATTCAAATATCCATGATCTGCTCATCATGGATATTCTGTAGGGCCTTACCCCGGTTCCACTTCTGTATAAGGGACGCGTTCCCCGTTTGAACGCCTTTTTATTCATTTATTACTTATCAAAAAAAAAAAATATATCCATGATCTGCTCAAAAAAAATAAAAAGGAAACATGTGAGGAACAAATATGATTTTAGTTAGAAATATACTAAACATGGTTATTGATTATCACAAATATTTTGATAATTAAAATTATAGCACCATTAGAAACCTTAAAATGCAATTTACTCTCCTTTTGTTCTACACACCTGATTCATATATGATGCTATTTACTACTTGCAATCACACCTTCTCGGGACCCAGCGTCCTCGTTGGCCTGACCCTCACGGGCTTGTGCGCACTCCCCCTATTTCTGACTTGGGGATTGGCTCTGATACCATTTATCACGACCCGCCCCGTTGTGTAGATACTGTTGGTTTTGCACTCTCCGTGCTCACGATTTTCAAAAAGCGTTTACATAATTTGGAAGCGTCCACACGTAATGGTGCCAACTTCACCCCCCAGGCGATATGGGACTTCACATACCATTAGCTATCAATCAATTACTGAAATACCCTTATAAATGATGACTCATGCAACAACTATGGACATTGGTTCGTAGAGAAGCCTTAATAGAATTGGGCCATATGAGGAACCCACTTGACCAAAGGATCTAAGGTATCATGAATCCTTTGTTTTATGGCTATGTTGAACCTTCCCATAAAAAAATGAATATTGTGTTAGCTATGGTTCCATTCTGTCACTGCAAGAACCAATGCTCGACATATGTGTAAATGTTGTAATATGCCCTTCCCTAATTTTTTGAAGCATTTGCAGTGGACTGCTTTCTTTGATTCAGAAGGGCGAGTCATGGATTCAAAAGCTTTAAGAAAAAGAATTTTTTATGGGGGAGTTGAGCACAGACTGCGGGAAGAGGTTTGTACATTGTATTATAAAGGAAGTCGTTCTCTCTCTCTCTCTCTAACATTGAGTACCAACTATTTTCATAACTTGTAATATGATTATAGGTCTGGCCATTCTTGTTGGGATACCATGCATATGATTCAACATTCGCAGAGAGGGAATATCTTGTCTCAATTAAAAAGGCAGAGTATGAGACTATAAAACATCAATGGCAGGTTTGCAATCAACCATAACGTAATTGTTGGTACCTTGCTTTGTCTTCCATTGTTTTACAGCTTGATGTGTGCATGCCCATCTGTGTGTAAAACTCTCTCCTTTGCATGGTATCTAATTGTTTAATCTTTGTTGTAAGGATTTTCTCTTCTTTTTCTTCGTTATCTTCTATGCCAGCTAATGGACTTTTTCCAAAATTGTAGCTGGCATTTTTTCTGGCATCACTACAATATGGTAATTTCAAAATTGAAATAGCTACGCAAGCTAAAGAAAGTTGCTTTGATGCTTGGCTCTTTAGCTTTGTGTTTCAGCTAAATGAGGCAATAATGAGATATATATGTGTGAGCAGCTCTGCTGGTCTGTGTGAGATGTCACGTGTCAGTTTTATGGAGGTTGATGTTTTAGACGCCTTGCCTGCATTCCGTCGTCGTCATGTCATTGGAGGTCCAGCACGGTTCTTAATGAGCCAAGCTATCTTTGCTTGTCATCAACCCTATGGTCAATAAAACTGAAAATGAGGACTAATATATTTGAAACATTAATCCAGTAGAATATACTGTTTCTGTGATTGGATTGGATTGGATGTTAAGAATACCACAGTTGGATGAAGCATTAAGCACTCTCAAATTATGACCGGGAGATGTAAGAAATCAATTTCACCTCTGACACACTTCCCCAGCTTGAGTTTGTGGGAAAAGATATTTGATTATTTTACATGATCTCTAATAGCTATAAACTGAAATAGAGAATAGAAATGCATAATTTTTAGAATGCGAGTGATGGAGCATATATTACTTTGAGCCCTCTTTTTGTTTTATGTACCTCAAGCATTATTCTATTTGCAGAGCATAAGGGTTATTAGATTTTTAAGAACTCAGCAGAGACCTTATGTTGGTTTATTAGGCTAAAATACCATGTATTGCCAGTTTGCTTTAAATATTTTACGGAGGCAGAAAAACTTGACACTTGAGCTAACCTTTTTCTGAATTTAAAAGGAACATATGGAAACTTATATTTTTGTATACCCATTTACCTTTTTGTTTTTCCTAACAACTTGTAACAGAACTAAGATATCTTTTATCTGTCTGCAAACTGAGGTGATGTGATTCTAGTTGGAAAGAATGCTGTTTTTCTGATATTTTTAAAGTGGCCTAAATTTATGTGCATAAATTTTCTCCGTCAGAGTATCTCCCCAGAGCAGGCACGGAGATTTACAAAATTCAGGGAGAGGAAAGGCCTTATTGAGAAAGATGTGGTATGCTTGAAATTAGCACACTTATTCTTGACTTGTAATAAATTTGTTTTGGATAAATTAAAGAAGCAGTTCAGCATTCAAACCTGTTAATCATATTTACTATCTTCTTTTAAGGTAAGGACTGATAGATCACTCTCTTTCTATGATGGTGATGACAATCCAAATGTGAGTCTTTTACGTGATATACTGCTGACATACTCATTCTACAACTTTGACCTCGGTTACTGTCAGGTAATTGCTTTGCTCTATAACTACTGTTGAGCATGTTAGGACTCCATGGGTTTATAGATAAATTATATAGAAGTTAAATACTTTTCCACGTGTACAATGTATTAAATTTCTTTCCACTGGTCATTTTATTCAGCTCTAGCTTGAAAATGTTTATAAAAAGATTCTCAAGTATGATGAAGCTGAAGAAGATTTGGGGAATGCATGTAATTTCTTGGACATATGAAATTAAACACCATTAGATGCTAATTGTTGATAAAATATTTTAAAGTTCTGACTGTGTGGGGGTTCTATATACCTATACACATTCATTAAACATATCCTAGAAGAAGACATTTATGTAAAACAAAACATGTCTACATGAGGATTATTGTTTTATGAAAAGGCACAGGTGACAAGTGAGAGCAGATACTTTTATTCTCTGATATACTTGGTAGTGTTCGAAATACTCATAGAATAAAGTGTCCACTGACACAGAATGCATATTCCAACTGATATATCTCATCACAGGATGACATGTAACATCAACCATATTACAACTGATATATCTCATTACAAGATGACATGTAACATCAACCTCCAAGAAAGCCTTTTGAGTTATAACATGGAACCACATTGCATCATGATTTAGACATTTTTTATTCTTTCATAAACATCATGGTTTAGACATTTAGATCCATAGGTTTGACTCCAAATATGTTGACCTACAAATTTTGCCGGGAATATTGGAACAAAAAAATAATGTATTGCATGCAATGGACATGTTTCTTCAAATCATTTTATTATGTGATAAGTTTGGCACAAGCGTTCTGTCTTGGACTGGGACTCATCATCTTGTCCCAAAACATTGGAGATGACAGTTTTTATTACACTTTTAAGTTTCTTTTGATTTTTCATACTTGACTAGTTGGAAATGACAAAAATGGCTGCAAATTTGAAGCCATTCGATTATGTAGAATTCAGAATGTTCTAATATACTGAACAAGAAACATCATGATCCCACTCATTATTTGCATTCAAGGAATGTCATGCACTTGTTAAGCAGTTGTAGATGCTTCTTTGCTTTTGTTTGCTTTAATTTTTTGTTCTGGGTCTTTATAGGGTATGAGCGATCTTCTGTCCCCAATATTATTTGTAATGAAGGATGAGTCCGAATCCTTTTGGTGTTTTGTTGCACTGATGGAACGACTTGGACCAAACTTCAATCGCGACCAAAATGGCATGCACTCTCAACTTTTTGCGTTATCGAAGGTCTCTCTCTCTCTCCTGTGTGTGTGTTTGCGCAATCTAATATCATTTTCAGAACTTTGTGGTCTGATTTGTGGATTAAATCCCTTAACCTTCTGTTGAAGTAGAGCATGTAATCTTATATTTTGGCTTTTTTATATTGCAAGTCATGATAATTGAATAGCATTCATTCAAGAGATTAGTAATTCTTGCTTGGTATGTTAAAGATTAGTATTTAGGAAAGGTTACCCTGGATCACTGCAAAAGAAGGCCTCTAGAACTTGCAATTCCGGAGTAGATCTATCTATTGGTGTCACGAGAACATGGCCTTTGCTTGGAAAAGCATGTAAACTTGGTTCGTTGATAAAATTGCATACTTGGGGGGAATAGTGAGTTAATGAATTCATTTGTTCTGAGTTGTAAAATCTAGTCCAGGCAAACTAATGTACCATCAAGAAAGAGATTTCCTACCCAAGTATATATCTCATGTATCTAAGTGTGCCAGAAGATAAGTATTTATAGGCAATCAAGAGATTGGATTAGAATAGGATTTAAGGGAGTTTAAAACCTACTAGGAAAATGTTGTTTCAAACAGCTCGATCGTTTGTTGATCATCGATGTTACTCCAGAATGCTTCAAACGATCCCTCTATTTATCGAACCTTCTGCATATTTTATACTTAGAAAATTATAAATATGCCCGTTTCCATTTTTCAAACCATGCATTCTTAAAACATATTTGGAATCAAGATAAGTCAAAAAATTTTAAATTTAAGAAACCATAAATATGTAATGCATATACCTCATTTGGTGAGAGTGCATCATTGTGTAAGATTACCATTTTATCTTTTGACATAACATGTAGTCCATGTTCAACTTGGAGAGGTATCTAACACTTAACTCACTTTTAATAAATTTTAACTAAAGTTTGTGGTGCTTTCTAATGGAGAGCCTAAAGGTTCATTTGGAGGTTATGGGGGCAAAAGAAAAGATGATACCATATTTCTATTTCCTTTTAGTCTGCCTGAATGTTCTTAGGAGCTGTGATGTTGAGGCATGAAATTTGTTTTGGCTGCGACCATGTTTCGACCCGATGAATGGGCCTTGTGTGGACCCAAGCCCCTTTTTCTCTTGCAGGGGCCATGGACCCTATTTAGAACTCTCTTGTAGCCTGGTATATAAGGGCGTTTAGTGTTTGGAGTGGGATGGCAAGAGAGCACTGAAAATCATAGGAAAGAAAATGAGAGCAAGAGTTAGGGTTTAGGGGATGAAACTTGTAATCTCATATTTTTTGCATAGTGAGATCTTTCACCGGATCTTCACCGTGGACGTAGGCTTTGCCAAACCACATAAATCTTTGTGTTCTTTGTGTGGCGTATTTACTTTTCTGACGTGATTATTGGTTTGTTCTTGGTTCGTGGTGTTTGTCATAACAATAAGATTTTTTTAAAGGTGGGTGTCATTTTGCAGGGATTAGTGTGTGCAGGGATAGGGTCAAGGTTTTCCATCTTTCATTTGCAGGTGACATGATCCTTTATTTCCCTCAAGGGATAAGAGCAAGTTCTGAATCCTAGTTTATTTGAACAAATCTTAAGCCTAGATTAACATGGATAGAGTTCCATTCCTGGTGCTAATGGTTTTGAAGACCACTTAAGAAGGCTAGATTGCTCATTAGGCTGTGAGATTAGTGAATGGCCTCTACTTCTTTTTGTATTTTGTCAGGTGGCAACCATAGGTTGAAGAGCTTTTGGGATTTGGTTGTTGAGATGGTCATTTAGTGTCTCCTTTGGTGGAAAAAAGCTTTCTTTCCATTGGTTGTTCGATAACATCAGTTTTGTTTAGGCACATTGTTGCTTATTATTTCTCTCTTGTAAATGCCTAATTCAAGTAAACATTGTTTAAGGCATACTCCTTGATGGAGTATAGTTGGCCTATATGGAACTTTGAGAACCTTTAACTAGGAAAAAAAACTTTGAGAACCTAGCACAACTTTGTATCCGGTCACCACATTATCAGTTATCACTGTCTTTTGAGGAGGCTTACCTCTATTTCAATGGATAGCAATAATTCAGAATAGGTCAACAATAGAGGAAGAATAGGTCAGAATAGTAATAATTCAGAATAAGTGTTGGTTAATGGGTCTCCATCCGGGTTTTTTGGCAGTTCTCGTGGTTTGAGGCAAGGGGACCCTCTTTCCCCTTTCCTGTTCATTATTGTTATGGAGGCTCTTAGTAGGTTGATGAGGAGGGTTATGGACTTAGGGCTCATACGGGGCTTCAAGATTGGCTCAGATGTAGCTCATCAGTTGGAGATCTCTCACTTGCTTTTCGCGGATGACACTCTAGTTTTTTGTGAGGCAGAGGAGTCCCAATGTGAGATATTTGAGATGTGTCTTGGTTTGCTTTCAGGCTGTTTCTGGGTTGAAAGTTAACGTGGGAAAGAGTGTGCTTGTCCCTGTGGGGGAGGTTCAGGAGGTGGATTTTCTTGCAGCTATTTTAGGGTGTGGGACGAGCTCCTTCCCTATTTCTTATTTGGGCTTGCCTTTGGGTGTCTTGTCAAGGAGGGTGGGAAGTTGGGACCCGATGATTGAGTGTTTCGAGAGAAGGTTGGGTGGAAAAAGCAATATCTTTCGAAGGGAGGAAAAGTTACTTTGGTGAAGAGCACTTTATCCAGTCTTCCAACTTTTTTTCTTTCGCTTTTCTAGATCCCCTCTTATATTGTTGGAAGACTTGAGATGTTTCAACGGAACTTCCTATGGGGCGGTCGGGGGGAGGAGTTTAAATTTCATCTTGTCCGGTGGGAGCAGGTTTGCAGGCCCTTTAGGTTGGGAGGTCTAGGGATTAGGAGATTGGCCCCCTTCAACAGGGCACTCCTAGGCAAGTGGCTTTGGAGATTCGGCAGTGGAAGACATAGATTATGGAGCAAGGTTGTTTCATGTCGGTTTAGGGAGGAGTGGGGGATGGGCAGCTAGGCCGGTCAGATCTGTTGTCGGTGTGGGGGTGTGGAAATCCATTGGGAAGGGTTGGGATAAGTTCTGTAAGCATATTAGATTCAGAGTTCGGGAAGGAAGGGACATCCGGTTTTGGGAGAATCCTTGGTGCGAGGGTCGTCCATTGTCTTCCTTGTTCCCAAGGTTGTTCAGGATTGCTGTTGATAGACATGTTGTGGTTGCTGACTGCTATCGTCTTGATAGTGGTAGGTTGTCTTAGGATGTGCAGTTCCGGTGATCCTTTTAGGATTGGGAGTTGGATGACGTCACTGGTTTGCCGGACCTTTTCTATAGACAGGAGGTGGATGGCACTGGTTCGGATTCCTTGACTTGGGTGCTTTCTTCGCAGGGGACTTTTCAAGTCCAGTCCTTCTTTTTCTGGGTTTCACGGTACCACTTTCCCGTGGAAAACGGTTTGGCAATCGAAGGCTCCTCTTAGGGTGGCCTTTTTTTTATGGATTGTTGCTTAGGGTAAGATCTTGACTCTAGACAATTTGAGGAAGAGAAGACAAGTCATTGTCAACCGGTGTTGTTTGTGTATGAATGATGGTGAGTCTGTCGATCACCTTCTCTTGCATTGACCCGTGGCTCATGACTGCTGGAGCCTTATTTTGGGTCTTTTTGGCGTCCAGTAGGTTATGCCCCTGACATCAAGGGACTTGATTGATATTTGGAGGGGCCAAAGGGTGGGAGCGCGTGTTTGCGATTTTTGGAGGGTGACCCCCTTCTGTGTTTGGTGGACTCTCTAGAAAGATCGGAATAGAAGATCTTTTGATGGGGAGGAAGGCGTTGAAGTTTTCTATTATTTGTTCTCTTTTTAGTTGGGATATGGGGAGAGAGATTGTATATCCTTAGATGAGATCATGGACTTTTTGGGGTCTTTGGGTCCATAGGTCTTCCCCTTCCCCCTTTTTTTCGGTTTTTTGTACAGCTCTTGAGACGCATTCCCCTCTTGGAACGCTTTCTAATACATGTTTACTTATTAAAAAAAAAAAAGAAGAAAAACAATAGAGGAAGATTCTTAGTGATTGCATAGACATACTTAGATATATGATTTAACTTATTCTTTATCTCTGTTGGGTTTTACCTCTCTTTATCATTCACTTTAAACTTTTTTTTCGTTATTGTTAACAATAAATAGCATTACAAGCTTTGAATGGTATATGTGCATCAATATGGTGTCTTACTTTGATATTCTCTCTTTCTTGTCCATTGGTAGTTTTATTTGATTTTGGACGTGAGTTGGAGTTAGGTGCCACAGCTTTACACTGTTTTACCTAAACTTAATTGTTTCGCTAGGAGCTAAATTATATATTTTTTGCCCCTCATATTTCTAATGTATTTTCACTGTTATTGTGGCAGCTGGTCGAGTTGTTAGACACCCCATTACATAATTATTTTAAGCAGAATGACTGCTTAAATTATTTCTTTTGCTTCCGCTGGGTTCTTATACAATTTAAAAGGCAAGCGACTTCTTACCTGGATTTATTAACTGGTTATTTTGTGTTGTGTGTGTGTTCTTCTTTCATTTGGGATATGCATTTCTCATATCATATAAAACAATCACATTGCATTGCTTCTTTCTTTTTCTTCTTTTTTTTGTGAGGGTAGTCTATTGGAAAAATAAAGCTCACTTTTCCTATAGTTGAATGATCTCTAGTACTAACCCCTCAACAACCCCTGCCCAAAAAAAAATTGGAAGAAAGAAAGGAAAGTAAAATGAGAAGGATAGGCTTCATAAGTTACAGAACCATATTCTGATAGTGTGTTTCATGTACCCTAATTAGTTCCTCTTGCAACTGGATTACTATTTAAAACAAATTTATAACTTGCTTTTTACATTGAATTACTTTAAGCAGTTTGGGTAAACAATATGTTACAGATGGTGTCACACCCTGGTAGTTTGAGTTTGCACATAATTGGAAATTTTACTTTTATACTCGAGTTCATTAGATAATGAGAAACAAATAGAGCATCACAGAAACAAGAATATCTCTAGAGTGTGTTTTAGGTGGTCATACTAAAATTTACCAGTGGACATGGGGACTGGTGCGGCAGGTCCAAAATTTTCCTATTTAAAAATCTAAAACTGTCCCACACTTATAATTTTTAGCCTCCAATTTAAATCTGGCTTTTCTGACCACTGGACACTTCGTATCTCCATCTTTAATCCTCTTTTTCATTTTGCTACACAGTTCTCTTTCAGCTATGTTTCTTTAATGAAGGATCACAATCTCTAAGAAGGTATGAAAAAGACCCTAAATGAAACATCCTTGTCTACTGCACTTTTATTGTATATGATACATGAAAATCATGAATATACATTACAGAAACAAGAATCTCTAGGGACCAGCAATTATGTTTTAGGGGGTCACACTAAAATTTACCGGTGGACATGGGGACTGGTGCGGCAGGTCCAAATTTTTCCTATTTAAAAATCTAAAACTGTCCTTTTAGCCCCCAATTTAATCTCGCTTTTCTGACCACTGGACACTTTGTATCTCCATATTTAATCCTCTATTTCATTTTCCTACACAGTTCTCTTTCAGATATGTTTCTTTAATGAAGGATCACAATTCTAAGAAGGTATGAAAAAGACCCTAAATGAAACATCCTTGTCTATTTCACTTTTATTGTATATGATACATGAAAATCATGAATATACAACCCATTAGAAAATTGTGATGACCTATATTGTAAAGCACGTAATTTGTTTGGTAAAATCTAATCATCAATTAGTCTATGAATAGTTTAAATTCCTAATACAAAGATGAGTTTAATTCATTAATTTTAGTTATTGCAAGTGACGACTTTTTAAATTTGTTTAGTTCTAACTATTATGACTTATTGGATTTTTTTTTAATAGTATTCACTGTAAAAGAGAATGAGGGATACACTCGAACACACACATTTGTATTTTTAATTTTTTTTTGTATAATTGTGTTAGTTAAATGTACGTAGTTTTTCTACTTCAATTTGTATGAAAATCTTGTTTAATATAAAATTTTATTGTGCACAAATGTATTTTTATCTTTATTTTTTTTTTAAAATAATAATAATAATAAAAAAAAAATAACACCAAACTGAATTTTTGGCCAATTACTGCCAGTTTCCATAATAACTTTCAGCCGTCTTAGTTTTTAATGAGTTACAAGGTTTTTTTGCCAATTCACATTGGTAATTTTGTGTCTCATAATATATGTATATATAACTTCAATGAGCCCATTGTCTTGGTCACATGCATTCACATAGATATAAGAAATGTGACATCATAAATTGGCATGTCATGATTTGCAAACTTTTTTTAAAATCAAGTTGAAGAGCTGATTTCTGTCATGCTTCTCAGGGAATTTGAATATGAGAGAACTATGCGCTTGTGGGAAGTTTTGTGGACTCATTATTTATCGGAGCACCTCCAACTTTACGTGTGTGTTGCAATCCTGAAGAGATACCGCAGTAAAATAGTGGGGGAGCAGATGGATTTCGACACTCTGCTGAAGTTTATTAATGAGCTGAGTGGTCACATTGACCTTGATGCCACCATCAGGGATGCAGAGGCTTTGTGCATATGTGCAGGTGAGAACGGGGCAGCTTGCATCCCTCCTGGAACACCGCCTTCAATGCCTATTGAGTGTGGTTCAGTCTATCCTCAACAAGACGATGATGTATTGTAAACATGGCCCGTATTTTGGATTTGTTAGTTCTATATTAAAAGAGGATAATATTTTTTATGCAGTTGATGATCTTTAAAGTTTTTAATCAGATGGGTTGTACATATTTCAAATGAAATATCAAATTATTCTTAATTTTTGTGGTAGATGTTTATGACCTCCACTTGAGTGAATGGATTTGTACCCAAGGAAACAAGAAGGACGAAATGTTTTTCCTTCAAATTTCAGACCGTGTTCTACAATGCATTACATACTTGGATCGATTATGGTCCCGAACTTTAATTCATTCTATATTTTCCTGTTCATAAAGATTTAAGGGCCTTTCTGACTGGAAGGGCATAGATTTTTCTGCCAAAGTTATTTTTGATGCAGACTTACCGACTGGGGGACCTTTCCTGGAGTACCAAAATGCACAGAATTCCAACAGCTGGCCAATCATTAATATATACACACACACACATGTATGAGTGCGTGTGGTCCTGAACAGTGCAACATTTAAATTTCACATTACAAGAAGACGACTGGTTGAATTGAACGTCCTTTTTTAATCCATCCACAGCTTCTAAATGATTAAAACAAAACAAATGAATCTAAGATGGGAATGATAGGCTCATCATCATAAAACAATGGTGCATTATTGGCAGGAAACAGTAGAGGTTGTATCTCATCATAATTGAAGATGCGGGTGTCTTCAAAACTAGGACTGGTCACGTTGTTGACATCTTGTTTTGTTGCGTGGAATATTTCGGTGGTGGTGTTGTGTTGATGATTTTCATTGGCAGGGAGTTGAGAATTAGGCAAGGGGCAGAGTTTGTTGTTGTTATTGGTATTGGGATCACTACTCCCACCGTGACCGTGATTTGTTGTTTTGGGTGGAGAGCTTCTCTTGTTCAAATGGGTATTCCAGTAGTTCTTCACTTCATTGTCGGTTCGGCCAGGGAGCCGACCAGCAATCAGTGACCACCTACACACACATAAATTTCTGCTTAGAGCATGCAATAATATTATGATAAAGAGTGAAATCTGGTGACGAGGTTGGTCTTTTTCCATAAAAAAGCACTTGGAAGACCATCTTCACCTATATATATAAACTCACAGTAGCGAAATACTCACCGATTGCCCAGAAGCTTATGCAATCTGATGATAAGGTCCCTTTCTTCATCTGACATTCTACCGCGTTTAATATTTGGTCTTAGGTAGTTCTTCCATCTCAGCCTGCAACTCTTACCACTCCTCTTCAAACCTGATAGAGATCAGTGTGTGTGTGTGTGAGAGAGAGAGAGAGGGAGAGTTTTGTCATACATAATACATTAAGTATGAAAATGAAATGATATGCGTGTTTTTTTTTTTACTTCGTCTTCACCATATCTTTAGATATATTTTTAGTAGTTGTGATTTGCTTTCAGGAAGTAAAAAATTGAAGTATGAAAATGACTGCGCGCTAGAAGTTTGCATGTATCATATATGTCATGTGAGTAGTGAAATCAGACTATATATATATAAACACACACATACACACAGAGAAAAGGTTTTACCTGATTTTTCAGAAACAGTTGCCCAGTTTCCTTCCCCATGAGTCTCTACATATTTTTTCAGAAGCAAGTCTTCTTCTGGTTTCCACAAACCTTTCTTAAGCCGGACCTTCCCTTCTTTGGTATCCATTAGCTACTTTCTCTCTCTCTCTCTCTATGGGTCACAGGTTATGTGGCACGATGCAGATGACTTATATATAGAGGGATAGAAGCTGTGAGGATGTGATCTTTAAAATAGTATTATATTACTATAAAATTGGACGCACTCGTGCATGCATATATATATATATATATATATAGCAAGATTAGCTAGGATTGAGGTGACAGCCTTATTTTGTTTCACTTTTGCTTTCCATGACATTATGATATCTTAGAAAGCAAATTTGTCTATCCACCTCCACGTCCCGATAAGAAATGTGAGTGTCACGGAAATTATATGCACACCTATTTAGGTGTTGAACATAAACAGTTTACTTTAAAATGATAGATGTAATATTCATGAGGTTCATGTGCACCAAAGAAACAACAAACTTCCCTTACATTATCGTGATTTATGTACATATAAAATTATACACATGCATTTTGTATGTGTTGCATCGATAGTTAATTTGCGTTTCAACAAAAGAGGGAGGATCATCTCCTGTCCAGTCCTTCCAGTGCACAAGGAAAGATTCGGATTAATCAGTAGTGGGTGGGTTTCATTGATTAGTTAGTCACACTCATCCATGCTACGAAAAATTATTAAATGGTTCTGAATTATTTATTACTTGGTGTTCCAGTTACGAGAATGGAGAACGAATTTTTCAATAAAATTATTATTGGATAACTAAATCAAACTTATAGGGAGTGTGAAATACATGAACCAAATCATTGAGAGATGAAAATATAATTACAAATGAATGAAGATGCACCGAATACTACTGATATTACGGAATCCTATTAATATTATACTTTCAAAGTAAGTATGGCATCTAACTTAAAAGAATTAATCTTACATTCTCAAAACAATAGAGTTGTAAATGAACTTGAAAATACACGAAGAGAAGAGAGAATCTCTTGCTGATACATAGGAGGACATGCATGTGCAGGTACTATGGAAGTAGACACTTCTACTTTGAAAGTAGGCCCTCCTTTTATCACCATATGCATGTAAATTTGAAGGACCACATCATCATCTTCCTCCTCCGCAAATCACGTGACAAACAATCAGACGGCTTGCTCCCCAACTTTGTAAGTACTGTACTTACTTTAGTAGTGGAGATATATATATATAGGCACACACACATGCAGTGATGTAATTGGTTTGCTTTAATTTCACTTGGCTGGCATGAGGTGACTTTTCACAGGAATTTGAATGAACTACAGACACAGTGTCATGTACTCTCTCTTTTTGATTGATATATATCCTTGTCAACAATATATATTATATCACACAATTCACAATCATATCTTCATAATTGGTGAGAGGCCTCTTCAATTTTATGCACACATAGTAAGCCCTTCACTACAATACAGGCACATTGTTGTGCCTGTACTGGTCATAATAAATGCAATCGAAGTCTCCTACCACAAGTCATTGTCAGTACAAAATGTAAGACAAGGGACCATAGATTCAATTAGCTGTTTTTTAATTAAATATATATATGTGTGTGTAAGTTTATGTGATTATAAATATATAATTTTAAATTATTAATCTTTTCGTCTCAAAATATATGTTCATATTTGTGAGTCACAGATATCAATGTAATTACTTATTTTGGGACGAAAAGAGTATAATTTTTTTAATAGATCTAATTATTTTAAGTGCTTGCATGTAATATGAAGGAAAGGCTAATGCATCAATTGTTTTGCTGTCAATTAATAAAAATGACCCACTAGTTATAATTACCATAATAAAAATTTATAAAAAAGAAAAAAGAAAAAATCATATAGTAATCATTTTGAAATATGCTATTTGGGCACTAATTGAGAATGTGAATAACCAACAACTCAAGGTACGTCATGCAGTAATATTCTTGAAAAATCTGTGTCTAACAGTTCTCTACTATACAAACACAAGTTAAAAAATGCAATGATCAACCTCATCATTGTGGGGATGGTGTAAAGACCAAAATACCTTCCCCTCTTCAATTTTATGTATTTCATGTCAATAGTACAAACTTAGGGTTACTACTATTCCCACACTTATTCTACCTATCCTGTATCTTACATTTATTCCCCTCAAACTTTGCATTATTCTATTCTCCCACGGTAATTAGTTGGCGCCCTAATGCAACTATCCAGGGACGGAGTCAGGAATTTGTTTCAGGGGGCGCCATATTAAAGATGATAAATTATATTTTTTTCAAGCGAAAAGTGATGCAAGACAATAAATCAAAGAATAAAACTGTACTAATGGTGGAATAATAGCATTTAATAATTTAAAAAATAATTATTTAAAGAAAATAGGAACATAAAAATACCGACCTTAAGGCAACAAATTTAATTACCAAACTTTGAAGAGAAAAAAAAAAAATAGTTTGAATAAAGGAATGTAACTTTTTTTTAAAGAGAATATAAAGAAGAAGAAGAGGAGGAGGAGTAAGAATGAAAGGAAAGGAAAAATTAAAGATATTTTTTAAAAATAATTATTTTAGTGGGCATTTTTGTAAAATTTTATAAATTATAGGCCTATTTGCAATAAAAATTAATTGGCCCAAGGGTAAATAATTATTTCAGGGGGCATTTTTCAATTTTTTATAAATTATTGGCCTATGTGTAATAAAAATTAATGGCCATTTTCTTAAAATAAATTATTTCAGGGGGGGCATTTTGAAAACTTTTATAAATTATAGGCCATTTTGTAATTAAAACTAATGGGTCAGCATGGGCCCAGGGGGGACATGGGGCCCCCCTGGGCCTATGCTGGCTCCACCCCTACAACTATCCGTATTGGAATGGTGCTGTAATTTACGTATTTCAACCAGAGAGGTAGGTGAGCAATTCGAATCTTATATGTGATACTATTATATGAAAAATGATAAATTTAATAATGGGTATTTGTTATTATCAATCCAAGCTAGTTAGTAAATTTGTGCATGATATGCGAATTAAACGTGTACATATAAATTTTGAAAAAATATTCTCGTATGTCGATAGAGTTGAAAGATACAGTAAAATATGTATTTTTTTATTTTATCATCCCGTATGTAGCGCGTTTATTCGTTTATTCGATTGGTTGCTCTGTTTAATTCGTGTTTATACTTATAACCTAATTTTTTTTTTTATTTCGTTCATATTTCTAATGGTGTATTTTTCTCAAACACATATTCTTAACACAAACTATCGTCTTTTGTTTGGTATAACCCTTCTCTTTCACATCATCAAAATAATGCTATTTGTTGTGCAATCTCGGAAAAGGCTCTGATACCACTTGTGATGTTCCGAATTTTCATAAACTCGGATATGTCAATGTGATTCAAAAGTTAACTCGATAACGGATTCGTAATACAGAAGCGGAAATAAAAACAAATGCGGAAGCAAAAAGGTGAAAATAGACCAAGTATGTCCCCGAGGACAAAATGGTCATTTCACATGTAAACAAAGTCTCAAGAGATGTACGTCATCCCTAAGACATAAATATGACTTCCCATGAAGCCACGAAACTTATAAGAAAACAAAATGCGGAAGCGAAATTTTAAAAAACGGACAAGTTTAGTTCTAGGGATAAAATCGTAATTTCTAGAAAGTGATGGGTGCTACTGAGCACACTATTGGATAGACGGCGAAAAATTAATGAACTTAGACTTAAAAATCACTTGATTCGGAGTTCGAACAGAAAAGAAAAGACAAAGTGAAGAATGGGCGTCGTCACGGCCGAGGACGGCACCATAACAAGCCCTATGCGCGCGCGCGCATGTGATCACTCAGTTGTTCTACTATCACTCTATTTTTTTTTTTCAATCTCTTATTATTGTCAATCCAATACTTGATCTTTAATCAAAGTAATGAAACACATCTATACCTTATGGAATACTATAATTTTGAAGAGATGTTTATAGAAATTTATAAATTTTTTGTTTTGTTTTATTTTGTTTTGAGATCTTTTAAATTTTGTTAGTATCTTTATTATTATTATTGTTATTATTATTTTGAAAGTTTGTAAATAACCATATTCACTATATGTTTTAGTAGAATATAAAGATATTGCCATAAATATCACACCATATACTTATGCATTTATTATAACTATATAGGCTATCAAGGAAAAATGAAAAAAAGAAAAAAGAAAGGGATAGCATTTTGGGATTATGTTGAACAAAACTGTAACTATCATGAAGGTATTTCAATAGTCAAATCACATATATCCAGAGTAAAAGGTAGAGATATTGAAATTTTGTTCAAAAGTACCCTAAGAGGTTCAAGTAGCTGCATTTTATTTTTAATTTAGGCAACATAGTTGATTAATTGAATTAGAATTTTTTTCACTGATTTTGTGATGAATTGATCATGTTATGGACCTACGATTATTGATTAATTATATTTTTATAGTTTATTTGTGTTATGATTATTATAATAGTGTTAGTTGTTGTGATACCCCTCGGATCCGAGACACGGGTTGATCAGGCCCATCCCCAAACCCGAGGGAAATATCAAACAATTAAAGTATTTTAAAGTGAACACGGAGTAATTAAATGAACATAAGAAATAGAATAAAGCTAACATAAATATCCAAAATTAAATCCTCCAAACGATAGTAAACAAAGTGAATCCAAATCTCCAAAACCTCCAAGAGTACAACTCGGGAATCTATTTAGTGGACCCCTAAACAAAACCAAACCGAATTGAAATAACTGAAATGAATGAAACTAAAATATCGAGAGAAGTCCTACGTAAGCAAATGAAAGAGACTGTCATCGACAAGCACGATCAAGCTCTAAGGCTGGAACCGTCCTGTACCTGAAAAGAATAAAAAAGTGGGTCAGGCCCACGAACAAGTTCTAATCTAACTGCGATCTATACAGTGACCGGATACGCAAATATACCCTAGATACCTCACAATATCTATTTAATCCATACATAATTATATCCACACTAAAGGACATTCATTGGACTATAATAGGGGTCTCAACCTGAATAGAAGGCAACATGCGAAAACGCACCCAAAAGTGGGCATGAGTACCTAGACCTAACATGGTACACCTACCTACTATATCCAGCTACGCATCCACTGCATATACGCACCCTAACTAACGAGCCTGAGACTCAAGCT